AGCGAGGTGCCTTATACCAGATCAGACTGTTTAGTTGTCTAGCTCAGTATTGTCTGTATCAGAGATTTATTTATTTATTTATTTAGCAAGCTTCTATGCTGCCCCATTCGCCGAAGCCCCATTCGCCAGATGGACCTCTCTGGGGAGCACATTCCATAGATTGGGCGCCACCGCAGAGAAAACCCTCCTCCGGGTACTTACCTTCCTAATATCCTTCACGGAGGGTTCCTGGAGAAGGGCCTCTCCCGCTGATCTCAAGGAGCGAGAGATTCCCAACATTGCACAAGTAACAACGATAGAGTCTCAAGGTCTGAGGGCACCCACTCTTTTTTTTTTTTAACTTCTCTCCCTTTGTAAAATATCCATGGATTTGGATGAAATGCATATAGCTCTCTAGCAAAAATACAAGGGTTCGCCATAAGCAGACCAAATGTCCAAGTAAGTGTCCATTTGAAGTTGGCATCTATATGTTTGTTCCTGTATTGAAACATTGTAAGGTCCTCAGTCCATTGCATATAGGAGGTGGGTGTTTATCCTTACAATTTTGTACTATCAGTCTTCTAGCTGCCAAATGGGTTCAAAGAATCCACTTCCCCTTCCATTAGTTAATTTTCATAAAGCAGGCAAATAATTTAAAAGTGCCTATGAATGTGTCTTGTACAAAATTTATCTTGTAAATAAACTCCTCCTTAAGAGAAGCAAGTATTGGACTTTGGCCAAGCATATCCTTAAAAGAAACATTAGCTATATTGCCCAGCAATCAGTCAGCTGAATTAGATAATCTTTTATTAAAGAGATATTGCAGTATCAAGTAGTCAAGAAATGTTTTTTTTCCCCTGACTTACACACAGCCTAAAACTGGTTGGTGCCAAAGCAGGCCTTTTGTGGTGGTGCCCATAGCAGTTTTTCAAATTCGCAAATGTGCCCATAGGTCCAAAAAGGATGGGGACTCCTGGTCTACACACCTGTTGGCAGGTAGAAATCTTTGAGGCTTTCAGGAAGGGCTTTTCCTCTGGCTCTACTTCTGTCATGTCTCTCTGTTGGGGGTTTTTTTTTTTTGCCTGCTTTTCATGTGAGATGTACCCCCGCTCCACACACACACTGGGTGCACAGGGGGCTTCCGATCAATGCCTTGATTCAGTGCCTTTCCCTTTTCACTTCGTGTTGGCACCCCCTGCTATGGCTTGTCAGCTGCTGTTTACTAGCCTCAGATCAGGCAGCTGTTGGAAGAGACATTCCAGCAAAGGACTGTGGGAGCAGCTGGCCCACAGCCCTTCCACACCCACACACTTTGCCCCGCACCCCTGGGTAAGAGGCAGTCACAGGGCGGGAGGGGGGTGGCCTTGGTTCCTAGGAAACTGCTGCTTTGGATGCTTTTGTCTGTTTCCAGGGATACTGTGCGGAGCCATGAGGTGCCTACTTTTTCCTCTCCTCACAATAGGAGGACTTCGAAGAAGGACGTTGGTGCATGGCTGTGCTTTCAGGGGCAGTTCTTTGCTGCAATTATCAGGCAGTCAAAGTCACTCATTAACTGCAAACATTTCCGTCTCTGCCTCAAGTCCCATTGTCTACATGTTCAGGGAGAAGGCCAGGTATTTCCTGAGGGAGGGCAGGCGGGCTGGCACTGGGTCTCGAGGCCTGGATAGGACAGCACTGAAGGCCAAAGTAGAGGTGATATGAATTGTGCTGCTGTTTTAAGAAATAAATAGCCACGAAGGGCCAGTCTGAATTGGGACTATTCAGGGCTTTAAGCCTTTCCTTCTACCCTGGGGTCTGCTGTTTACATCAGAAGGAAGACATTTATTTATTTATTTATTTATTTCACTTGAAGCCTCCTTTGCTTTTCAAAGAACCCAAGGCAGGTTATTACAGTTTTCCTTCCCATTTGATCCTCATAACAACCTTGTGAAGTAGGTTAGACTGAAAGTCAGTGTTTGGTCAGTCATCCAGTGAGCTTCATGGTAAGTGGGGACTAGAGCACAGATTTCCGTGTCCCAGTCCAGCACTCACCGCTACACCACAGTGGCTCTCTTGTGGGCAGCAGAGGGCTCATACCTGTATGACTGAACAGGCATCTAAGATGCAAATGTAGCATAAAGTGTGAGGAAATACTGGTTCTGGAGCAAATGTTTTAACTGGGGCAGTATGGTGGAGATAGGTGCAAAGCTCTGAACTGCACACACAAATCATTACACACGTGCACACGCATACAGGCTAATAGTAAATTCATGCTCCAAGTTTGAATTATTATGTAGACACAAGGATATCGACTATATTGATAACCCAACTTACCTTACAGGGTTATTCCGAGGATACAGTGGCGAACAGGAATCGCAAAACAGCTAAGTCTGAAGGGGCCAAGAAGGCCATCAGGTCCAACCCTCTGCTGTCGCAGGACACCAAGTTATACCATCCCACTCAGATGGCTGTCCAGTTTCTTTTTGAATGTCTCTAGTGTGAGAAAATCCATGACTGGTTCCACTGTTGTATTGCTCTTTCAGTGAGGAAACTTTTCCTGGTATCTACCCTGAACCTGGTTTGTCACAACTTCAACTGATTATTCTGTGGCCTACCCTCTGGTATCAGCGAGAAGAGATCTTGACCTTTCTCTTTATGACAGCCTTTGAGGGACTTACAGAAGGATACCATGACCCCCCTCAGTCTTCTCTTTCCAGGGCCGAACATGCCAAGTTCTCAAAGTCTCTCTTCACAGGGCAGTGTTTCCAAACCCTCCTCTGGACCCTTTCTAATTTTTCTCCCTCTTTCTTAAATCTGGGTGCCCTGAACTAGACACAGTATTCCAGATGAGGAGAAAGATTATGTAAGCTACCTTAGGTTTCTTGCAGGAAAATGGGCAGGATAGAAGTATAATAAACCAATACATGCATACATAAAGTAATGGGCTCAGGATATATCAGTAGGTTTGGGGAAACCCAAAAAAACAGCCCCAAGAGGAACGAGTATGCTCAGTGACCATCAGATGTTGACTGACTGTTGCAGGGATGGGAGTGGGTGGAATGGAAAAGTACCCTAGAGGAAGGCTTTGCAGGAACCTTGAACAGGAGCACTTCACCCCGCAATATTATGTCCACATGTTTTGCAAGGTGGTCCGGCTCTTAGATTGAGGCCTAGCTGTATTTCTTGAGACCCTTTAACTAACTGCTTGTGACATAAATTGGTAGAGTTGCAGTGCCCACCAGCTGACCCCTGGAACGTTGTCAATTGACAGCGTGTTATGGGCTATGGTCAAATATTATCAAATAATCCAAGATTGTCTTTATGAAGATGCTGGTCTAGCTTTTAATTATGTTGTTAATTGCAACTGACAGCAAATGCAGGAGAGAGACTTCCTTCCTCAGCTCCTCAGGTTCCACTTGCTCTGCACTATTGGCCTAACCACATTTAAAAGCTAAGGCCAAACCAGACTTTACAAACAAATGCATGCTTTTAAATCCTGATGACAGCTTTGTTTATGAAAAAGCAGTTGGGGAGCAGGAGAGCTAGAGCAGAAAAACATCAGGAGAGAGTGTGTGTAATCCTTTCCTTGTCCATCTACTTCCTATTCCCTGGGCATGGGAAAAGCACATTATTGAAGCAGCCTTGCTGAAGCTGAGTAGATGTGTCTGTTCAGTGCTTGGATAGAAGACCTGTATATGCAGTCTTGAATTGCATGATGAAATAAAAGTGGCATATAAATGTATTTTATAAATGAAAGAAAAATACTCTCAGTTGTCCCCACAAGCAACCTTCTTTGTTGGTGTGTTCCCTTCCAGATAAGCATTAACCACCCCTCCATATATCTCTTTCTAGAGAAAGGGTTAAATGACACTTTCTCTTCCTTCTACTGTTCTAAGGCACTCCCTTCCCGAAGCTGCTTTGATGAACAAAGCAGCTGCTAGGACTAAAAAATAGTTTTCTGGTATGACCTACATGGGGGCTTCAGGCTTCCTCAAACTAGAATTAAACTATGATTTTTTTCTAGTGTTAACTCTGGGTTGTTTAGGGATTAAACAACCTGGAATACTTGTGTCTGGATGTGACAGGAGTAACATCCTATTGATAATCAAAACTGAAGATATAAATATAAGTGAAGTGCATGCAGGAGGCAGTACCCTTATTTGTTCTAATTGATTTTTTGGTGATTCATGGGTTCATTAATTAACCCACGTTTTTTTATTATGTATGAATAGGGTCAATGTCTGATTGGAGCCCTTGCCTTTTAATAGCTGCTACATGTGTTTTATCATGTCTTTTTTTAATGTGTGCTTCTGCTATCCTTGACGTTCCAGGTTAAAAACCAAGAAGTATTTAGTATCTTGAATGTCGTGTGTGATATTTGTATTTCCATGGCTTCTTTGATGGAGAATGTTGTACCAAGACTGTTGCTTTGTGGTACCAACCCAGACCTGGTAGGCCACTGGCGAGCCACTGTTGGGAGGCAGAATGTTAATGATGGGACCACTGGTCCAAACCGGGACAGGCTGCTGGTCTGTTCTTTTATGAACTCTGTGGGATTGAAGCAACCTGTGTCAGATTTGCAGCCGTGTGTGGGTGTGTTTGCTCTGTGATTAACACAAGCTTCCCTCTTCTTTTTAGACCTCATAAATAGCTTTGTTGTTTGACCCAGTGGGAGCATATTTCACCCATATTTAACCTACTCAACCCAGTCAAATGACTGCCCCTGTTTGTAGTCTTGGGATTGCTCACATGCACGGCGTATGCTGAGCCACAGATCTGGCTTATGGCCCTTCTGCCAGTAATGATTATGTGTCATGCTGTGGTCAGTGTGCTGACTGCATCTCCTCCTCATTCGTATCGGAAAGTGAGGACAATGGCAGGATGCTTGAGACTCCTGCCCAGGAATGTGTGCTGTTTAGTAGCGGGGAGAAAGTGCCCTTGTCTGGGAAGAGGAAGCACAGGGCTGCCCATTCATGTTGAGTCACTTTGCCCTCCATCCCAGCTCTGCCTGTGTTGACCGCCATGTTCTGTCCTTTCAAAAGGCATGAAGACTCAACTGTCGGTGTAACCAGTAAGGCCAGAGACCGTGATGGGACCCACAATGCTTTTCTTGCTGTTTTTGGCCTCTGTTGGTGTGTCAGAGCTGGAAGAGCACTTTGATCCAGGTGAGTCTGAGATCCAGGTGAGAAAGCCCATGGCTTGATCAGCTGTGGAGAGGGAAAGGGATGATGCTGAAGAACCAAATCGTGCCTAAGTCCAGCTCTTGTTTACTGCCCTAGAAAATGTGCAGGAATGGCAGAGCCAAATGCCTTAGGACATGTTGCCGCCCATGTCACGTAGTGGGGTGTGGCTGCCACAGGGCCTTGACCCCTGACATGCAGTAAATCCCGTGGGAGCATTGCAGCCCTCCAGATGTTTGTACACCACAACTCCCATCAGCCTGGGCCAACGTGGCCAGGAGCCAGGAATGAAACTAGTCCAACAATGTCTGGAGGGCCACAGAGCCCCAAACCCTTTCGGTATCTATCTATCTATCTATCTATCTATCTATCTATCTATCTATCTATCTATCTCCTATAGCCTTTTTCCTACAAAGGGCTCAAGGCAGCTTACATCATTCTCCTCCTCCATCTTATCCCCACAACAACAACCCTGTGAGGTAGGTTGGGCTGAGAGTCTGTGACTGGCCCAAAGTCACCCAGTTAGCTCCATGGCTGAGCGGGGACTAGAACCCAGATCGTCTGGGTCCCAGTCCCACGCTCTTAACCACTACACCACACTGGCTCTCCAGTCAGAGCTTACTTACCTGAAAATGTCTTTCCCTCCTCTCCACAAACAGTGAACCTCCAGATTCACCTGTGAAAAAAAGGGAATTAAAAGCTTATATAAGCCCCACCATCTATCTATTTCACAGCGAGGAAAGCTCAAAGTTTAAGTTTGATATTTAGTATTTGAAGGGAACATTTTGGCTTTAATACTGGCAATGCAGTTCCAACTTCTTGGGTTCTTTTGTTTTTATTTATTTGTTTTTTGATTTAGAGCCTGCCTTTTTCCTACAAAGGGCTCAAGGCAGCTTACATCATTCTCCTCCTCCATCTTATCCCCACAACAACAACCCTGTGAGGTAGGTTGGGCTGAGAGTCTGTGACTGGCCCAAAGCCACCCAGTTGGCTCCATGGCTGAGAGGGGACTAGAACCCAGATCGTCTGAGTCCCAGTCCCACGCTCTTGACCACTACACCACACTGGCTCTCACACCGCACTGGCTCTTAGTAAAGTCAATGCTTTTATTCAGGGAAAGGGGAATGACACGGACTGAAGCAGAAAAGACAGATTGAAATGACAGCCCTACAGAAATTCTGTTTAAATAAATAAATGTGTGCATGTATTTAAAAACACACACACACACACACACACACACACCCCTACCTGATGAAGGGAACAGTGTCCCCCAAAGCTTATGCCAGAACAAATTTGTTACTTTGTAAAGTGTCTCCCCTGCTCCTCCAGTTTACCCCATGAAGGTAGTTGATGCAACATCCCTACAGACACGTATCCAAGTAGGTCTGGTCTGGTGTGTGCCTGGAAGGGATACCTCCTTGGAGGCAAGGTTGGATATGCGCAAGCTGAATCAGTTGCTTGAAGGAGAACTCCACCGGGTTCTCAGGGATGGTTCCATCACATGTTCTAACTCTAAGTACCCTTGACTTCAGTGGGGCTTGCAAACAGGTCAGTGGGTATAGGATTGCAGCTGCACTGTCATGGGACGTGGGTTCACAGCTCTAGACTGACAATCATCTCGAAGACCAAGAATATCCCATAAGAAACAAAGTGGTAATTCATCATCTGTCCAGGTTCAGACGTTTTCACGTGTTCCCTAAGGTCACAGATGCCTCAGAGTTTTTTGCTGCCATCTTCTCAGGCTAACCAGTGGTTGCAGGACACTGCATTTCTATCACGGGCAGTTCAGAGCAAAGCCCTGGCACCATAAGAACAGCAGAAGACCTTTATTGGATGGATCAGAACAAAGCTTTCTTTAGTCCAGCGCTCAGTTTCCTGCAGTGGCTGACTGGATGCCACTGGGAAGCATGAAGGAGACAGCCCTGCTGCCTTGCTGTCTCCTTCCCACTCAGCAGGTGGTATATTATTCATATTATATGAATAATAATAATAATAATAATAATAATAATAATAATAATAATAATATATTGTCTCAGAACAGAGAGGTTCTGCACCATCATGATGACAAATAACCAGCCATCATCTTAACTGTCGCCTGTGCATTTCCCTAGTCCTCCACATTCTGAGGAAGTAAATTCCATTAACGAATTGCATATCATGCAAGGAATTACCTTTATTTATTTTTTGTTCTGAATCTATTGCCAGTCTATTTGCAACTCTATGTAAAACTAATGGGACCAGAGAAGGAGAAAAATATATCCCTTTCCACTTTCTTCCCAACATGAGTAATGTTATGAATTTACAGGAGTCCTCAACATTTTCGGGTTGGTGGGCACATCTGGAATTTTGAGTGTGTGAAGAGTTCCCACAAAATGGCTGATGTGGAGGGGATGGCCCAGTCACAGACCACCCATTTCCTAGGAGGCACACTGGTGAGGCTGAAAGAAAATAATCTTCGGGTTCAGTCCCCTGGTCACTCAGCATGGACTGGGAGCCACAGGATTTGTCAGGTTCCACAGGCAGTGTCCCCACCTCAACCCCTCTTAGCTGGTGTAGAAGGAACTGTTTTGGCTGCCCCTTCCTCCTGAGATTGCCACTGGGGCCTGGGGCAGGGGAAGTGGAGAGGACAGCAGGGAGGAGACGAGGCTGGGACCACGGACTTCTGCCAATTTCTAGTGGCACCCCAGCCTCCTCCCCTCTCTTCCCAGCACCAAACCCAGCCATCTGGAGGACAGGTGGGGTACAAGGGGTCCTTTGACTGTCTAGTGAAAATGCAGGGTGTGAGGAGCAGTAGCTGCAGCATTTGCTGCCACAGCATCTGAATCCTGCCATTGGACACGGTGAGTCTCCAAATCTGGAGGCTGACAGGCCTCTGCTGCAGGTGCTCTTCTCCAAGTAAGAGGCAGAGGTGGGAGCTGAGCTCCTTGATACAGAAATGCTAATTTGAACCCAAAGGCGGCACTGGGTGCAGCACCCTCCACATCCAGTGCAAAGGGTAGGAGAGCCAGGGAGCCTGGTGGGAACTGACAGTGGTGCCAGGGGGCGAATGCAGCTGGCATCCCCCACTTGGAGACTCCTTTGTAGCCTTTTTCCGCACAGGGGAACATACTCCAATCTGAGCTGTACCTTTTGCAGCTCTGTGGAAGCTCTTTTTGAAGTGGAACCAGCAGCTCAGTACACAGTATTCCAAATGTGACTACCCCATCATTATGTATGGGCATACATTAATGCTGGCTTTGTGTTTCCTAATAAGCTGCAGTATGGATTTTGCCATTTTAACCATTCCAGACATTATTAACTATTCCAGAGAAGAAATCGTTGACTTGAAAGTTTGTGGAATATTTAGCACCTAGAAAAGGGCATCATTACATTTTAAAATTTCCATCTTGCATGTGTTTAGAGTGCCGTCTGCTGGATAACATTGGTTTGTGTGGCTTGGTTCTTCGATTTTCAAAAGGGCGACTGCATTTTCACCCCTTTTTACTTTTTGGTTCAGGCAGTTCGGCTTTAAAAATTGCCCCGTATCAGCCCAGTTGCAGGGAGCAAGGACACCAACAGGGCCCAGTACTCTTTAAAGGACACGCCTTGGCCAGTCTGGCCTTTATGGTGATGATTTATAAAATGATGAAAAGAAGGTGTTATGGGAAAGGAGGAAAGTGTTTTTCCTGCCTTACTGTACTGGATATCAGTATTAGTGTAATAGAGGTTACAGGTGTGAAAGTGAAGGAGTCAGAGGAAAGGTGCATTGAAAAAAGAGGTCTATACTCTGTTGCCCAGGACCCAGCCTGCCTTTTCCCTTCCCTTTATAATCTGCACCCCACCTCACTTTCCCCCAAGACCAGCTGAAGGCCTGATGCTGCCTTAGGTAAATCAGAATTTGTGCCATAAGGCATGCAGAGCAGCATAACAGTAGCTCATGCAGTTGTCCTGTTTTTCTCTTCAGTTTCACCTTTCTGCGTCCTTCCCTTTATTAGACGGCCCATGGCCTGGGGCAGCAAGTGGAAGAGCAACACTTTGCAATGCCAGGGAATTTAGCCAGCTGCTAAGTGCCTCTGTGATTCTCCTCCAAAAGCCGACTGCACCCCTGAGGCAGGGGCTCTAGAATGCCGCCCCCCATTCTGCAGCCACGTGGCTTGCTTGTGAAGTGGGGCTGGCCCTACAGGGGCTGCCAGTGGCCGCTGGTACTCCAGCCCCACTTGTGCATTCCTTTCTGAAACTGCACAAGGCACCTTTCTCCAACTTGGGGCTCTGCAGATGGTTGGGCTGTAATTCCTGTCATCTGTAGCCAGCAGTAACGTGGGGGGATGGTCCTAGACTGGGAGGTTAGGAGTGGAGCTGGTGGGATCCTCCAGACAAGAGCCCCAGTTCTGCTAGGAAGGGTGACATGTGAGTCGTGACTGTGCATACTTATTCCGAAGTAAGTCTGCCTGTTTCCTCCCAGAAATGCCGAGGTTGGGAGCCACTTAGTAATAATCCCATAGACTGCAGCAGCACTTATGTCTGTCGAAAAGGTGTAGGATTGTGCTGTGAAGTGTGGCTGCCATCCTACAGTATGGGAGATCATCCTTCCTCCACCCTGTGCTGGCTCAACTTCCAGGGCACTGGAGGCAAATGCAAGGTGGCATCTGGAAGGCAGTTGATCTCAGAGCACCAAATGAATAGACACAACATAGTTCTGGCAATTTAAGCAAAGATCTAAGGCATGTGTCTTGAGTGGGCCGGCCTGGGATCCTTGGGCCTTAGCATTTGCCCAGGCATGCCTCTTGGAGAATCCCACTGGAAGCATCAGAAGGATGTATTCCAGGGTAGCACCAGGCCATACCCCTTATTTTCAGGGCTTTAGACTGCTCTTTAGAAGGCCAGATACTGAAGATGAAACTCAAATACTTTGGCCACCTAATGAGAAGGAAGACCTCCCTGGAGAAGAACCTAATGCTGGGAGCAATAGATGGCAAAAGGAGGAGGATGAGGTGGCTGGGTGGTGTCACTGCGCTGTTGGTGTGAGCTTGAGCGGACTCCTGGGGATGGTGGAGGACAGGAAGGCCTGGAGGAATGTTGTCCATGGGGTCGTAGTGGGTAGGACATAACTTTGAGACTAACAACAATCCATAGTTCACCCTTTTCATTGGTTGCAGTGAGATGTGTTGCAACTAACATTAACTAGATTGAACCCGTATCGCTAAAATTACTCTGACACTGTTACAGAGGTGCATGTAAAATGAAACAGTGTAGGCCACCTTGTGTTCCCCATGAGAGCAAGAAAGGCAGGAGATAAATGCAATGTAATAATAATCATAATAATAATTGGGGTGCAAAGGGGCTATTTTCTCTGCAGAGAATGTTCTTCAGTCTCTCTCTTTTCTTCCTTCCTACAGCTAAGTGCCGCTATGCACTGGGCATGCAGGATCGTACCATCCCAGATGAGGCCCTCTCAGCCTCCAGTGCATGGTCTGATTCAACTGCTGCTAAGCACAGCAGGTGATTATAGCATTTAATTTAAGCCGTACATGTAGCGCTTAATGCTATGTCCATGATTTTTTAAAAGCTTTTAAAAATGTGCCAGTGAAAGGTGAATTTTGCAAACGTGCTCACATCATATGTGCGCTTCACATTTATTTGCTGATTTTTGCATGTTTTCTTCAGCTCTCCTACCATGGAGATGAGTAAAAAGTTGCAAGGGGCATTGGGACAGTTGGAAATGTTGTTCAGCATGTCATAGACAAGGATGCATGCACACTCCCGCTTCTGAGAGTTCACCAGAAATTGCATTGCTTATTTATTCTCAAGACAGTCATTTCATCCTTAAGGACTAGAAACTTGGCATTTACTTACATTTGAAAGGATAAAAATGGGTGTCTTGGCCCTGCTTGTATGACGCATGGCCCTGCTTGTATGCTGTTGGAGTCCCTCTTATCTGTCTTCATAGAAATTAACCGCTGGACATAGGCATATGGTATATTTTTAAAAATGTTAAAAATAAATATTACTAACTAACTTAATAATACCATACCATTACCATACCATACCAAAATGCCTCAATAGAACAAAAAATTAAAAAAGGAATAACGTACAGTACAAATAAATGGAATCATAGAAATAAATCAAAACAATTAATAATTAAATTATATAATACTGAACACAAAAGGTGTACACACCAGGTTGTTCAGTTACATGAATTTTTTTTATTCATATCTGTATATACTTGTCTTTTCTTCTTCTTCTTCTTCTGTGCTTCCCTTCTCTCAGACCCCTTCCCCATCCAAAATTGCATTGAATCATGTGAAGGTTTAATATCCTTCCCCTTTATTAATATGTATTCAGTAAACAACCACCAAATCTCATTAAAAATATTCTTATTCTTTTTTTACCTTAATAATACACGTTAACTTGCCATTAATAGCTATGTTCCAAATTTCCTTATACCATTCACTTAATTGGAAATCATGATTTTCCTTTCAGTTCTTTGCTATTATTAATCTTAAGACCATTTGCTAAATTTGCTATCAATTCTTTAATACTCAGTTTCCATCTCCTTTCATGAAACAACAGCAATAATGCAATTCCACGATCTGCTTCAATATCTAAATTTAATATTTTGCTAAATTCCTTGCGTATGGCTTCTAATGTCCACATGCCACACCAAGTGCAGGTTTCAGCTGTAGAGCTTAGGGAGCCTATCAGATGCATGGGGCTTCTGTAGGCTGCTCTGTGCAGGATGCTCATTTGCATGACAAACACTTCTTCAAAGCGTCACCACATTGTCAGCCGTTCAGCGTTTAGGAAAGTTCGTAAAATATCAGCCATCTTTTTCTGCTCTCCGCTTCTTGCTCTCCAGGTTGGCGCTGAATGAAGGGGACGGAGCCTGGTGCCCTGCAGGTCCTGTCTACCCTAATGACGCAGAGTACCTCGAGATTGATCTGCGTCGGCTGCACTTCTTAACCCTGGTGGGAACGCAGGGCCGGCATGCAAGCGGCCATGGCAAGGAGTTTGCCCGTGCGTACCGACTCCATTACAGCCGCGATGGGCACCGCTGGATGCCCTGGCGTGACCGGTGGGGCAACGAGGTAAGCGAGGCGTAGAACAGAGTGAAGAAAGGTGCAGGCTGCAGCCCGTGGAAATTGGGAAGTCAGCAAAATGCACAGCTTCAGCAGAAGGCTCAGCAGGGGCACCCATTCACTCAAATGGCAGGCTAAGCTGTAAGGTCTTTGAGTGAAAGTGATGGTTCCTGAAGTTCCTCTTTACTGGCAGTCCCCAAGTTATGAACATCCAAGTTATGAGCTACCCATACTTATGAATGAACTGCCATAAAGCCTGTTGATTTAAGAAAAATACTGCAGAAAATGGTCATTACCAGAGAGAGGAGGTGGGGAGGTCTCCTAAGCATGCCTTGCCCATCCAGAGAGGGAAATCTCTCCAGCATTTCCTTGCTGCGAAGAGGAGGCACTGGTGAGTTTGGGCAGGGGGTGGGTGGGTAGAGATATTTGCAGTTTTTCCACTTTCACACCCCTAACCCTGCAAATGTGGAGCGCTGACCATACGTGAGCCAGCTTACACACAAATCCAACTTAAAGGCGAATGCCTGTTTTCTTAGGAATGGAACGCGTTTGTAACCCAGGGACAGCCTGTATCAAGATGACTCCATGCATTCTTGTTCAGGTAGAGCATCTGTTTGTGTAGCACCGCCTTGCAGACTGCAGGTAATGGCTGACGTGATGGAATGAGCCTCTCCACAAGCGAATCCCTGCACAGAGAAATCTTCTTGCTAGAATATATAGACTAGATTGGTTTTTGCTGACCTGCCAGTTTTCTGTGTGGAAGTAATTTTTTGTATGGAAGATCATTCCCTCTTGCGAGCCCCCACCCCAGCAGGCATGGATACGCTCCAAAGTGGGCAGCCCAGAGACGGGCTTCCTTCTCTGTGAGGCCTGAGCTATCTTCAGATACATAGGAAGAAGTTTTCCCAGCAAGTCTGGCAGATAATGCTGAGTTATTTACCACTTCCTTACTCAGAGTAAAAACTTTGAACTGACTTTCTGCATTCTTGAGAAATGACAGCACCTTTCTTCTAGGTGATTTCGGGCAATGAAAATACAGAGGACGTGGTACTGAAGGATCTGGGCCCTCCCATCATCACCCGATATGTCCGCTTCTACCCCCGTGCAGACCGAGTCATGAGCGTCTGCCTGCGTGTGGAGCTGTATGGTTGTGTCTGGAAAGGTGAGCAAGGCAGCTTTTGTACCCTTGACTCATTACACTGCCTTTCAGCTCTTGCCCGTTCATATAAGTACACCTGTAGGGTCAGTGTGATGCAACAATGTGATAGTTGACCAAGGACTGGGGAGACCTGAGTTCAAATCCCTGCTCAACCATAAAACTCACTGAGAGTAACCTTGGACTAGTCACCCTCCTGCCGTCTACCCTGCCTCACAATTGTGGGGATAAAATGGAGAGGAGAAAGACTCTGTGTGCTGCCTTTTCCTCCTTCAAGGAGAGAGAAAATGTAAATGTAGTAATTAAATGGCACTTATCATTTTTCCCACCTCACCTCCAGTATTTCTTGGTGTATTTCATGCCACTGCGGATTACATGGACTTTGCATCTGAATCAAAGCCATCAAAATCACAAAGCCTGTAACACCAGTTTGTCCATTCATATATTGCTCCACTAACCGTGGTTTCTGATGCTGGTTTTCTAGCCCATTGCAAACTGTGGTTTGTACATTCAGACATCACACCTTACACTAAACCACAGTGCATGATTTGGTGTGATGACTGGATCGAGCCTTTGCCACGTCAGTGGGAGAAGCTCCAGCTCAGTGGCTTCGTATGCAGAAGGCCCCGGTGCAGTCTCTGGCGTCCCCTGGTCCTCCAGAAACGCTGCTGCCTGAAATTCTGGACAGCTGCAGCCAGTCAGTGCAGACAGTCTAAAGGCAGATAGGTAAGGTAGCTTCCTATAGTCCTAGTGACTTCCTTGTTGTACTTGGTGCCCCTTCCTAGTAATTGGAGTAGGGACTTCACAGCTTGTGCTTCTTAGCAGTTATGAAGTGTTACACTAGACTTGCTCTATATGGGGAAAAGTCATAGCTCAAGGACAGAGCATGTGCTTTTCAGTTGGAAGCTCCAGGTCCGAATCTGTGGCATCTCCTGATGAAGAGAATCAAGTTGAAGGGATAGAGAAGACTTCTGCCTGGGACCCTGGAGAAGGCCCCTGGCAAGTCAGAGTACACCCTCAGCCTGGTGCCCTTGAGAGTTTTGGGACAAAACCTGCCGCTGCTCCTGACCTTTGGCTATGTGGGATGAGGATGATGAGAGCTGAAGTCTATAACACCAGTTTGGGCGGGCTGGAGTAGCTGAAAGTAGGCTGGACGGAGCAGTGGTCTGGCCTGGTGTCACACAGTTTCCTCTGACATTTCTATTTTATTCACCACCACACTTGGCACAGGCCTTCTGTGCTACCTCAGAATACCCCAAGGCTTTGCTGTGCACGCAGTTCTATCCTTCTGAACTTGCATTCCCAGCTGGAGGCCTTCTCTGAATGTGTGCTGTCCTCTTTTCTCCTTCCGCAGATGGACTTCAGTCCTACACAGCCCCTCTGGGCCAAGTCATGCCTCTGCTCCCAGAGCCTGTCAACCTGAACGACTCCACTTACGATGGGCACAGCGTCAGCAAGTGAGTGAGTGGACATACCTGAACTAGCCTTCCTCAACCCCGCCCTCAAGATCTGGGTGGAATGCAGCTCCCAGCATCCCCAGCCAGTATACCCCCTCCCCCCACACACACTCCCAAGTAGGTCATCGGGTTGGATGAAGCTGCTCCAAAGCTTGCTTTCCGGGCATGGCTGGCCCTCACCGTCGTAATTCTGACCCAGACTGCAGCTTCAAAGGCCTAGTCATTCAGATGACTAGATTAATTGCACGTGGTGGGCAGCTGCTGCATGATAGGCAGGTAGGAGATGTTTCCATCACCTGTGGACACAGAAGATCGTATTTAGAGCATTTTCTTGTCCCCAAGAATAAAGCGGGGAAATAAAGGTGGTCAGGTAGTGGATGAGTTTGTTGCATGCAGGTGGTGCCGATCCGCCAAAGAGCAGGGCTGTTAGCCTGTGCCAAGGCAGGGTGATGTAATAGATGGATGTGGAGTTCAAGCTCCCCAGGGCCACCCCCAGCCTGCGTGCACTCTCTGTGAAACAGGAGCCATCTATTGGATGGAGTGAGATATGGGCTAAGAACAGATTCGTCTTGGAAAAGGAACCTGTATTAAGCCTCATGAGCTTTCAAAGAGGATGGAAGGTGTATAGAGGTAGAGGACGGTGTGAGGATACAGGGAAGGAAGAGAAGAGTGGGATAAATAACTACGCTCAGCGATTCCTGGCTTCATGTTACAGTAGCCTCAGGTTCGATTATCGCCATGTGCTCTACCTGGGGGTACCTTTCTTAGAACAGTCAGGATGCTTCCGTCGGCCCAGAACGCAGCTGCCAGCACATCACTGATAGGATCATGTTGTCCCGACAGCCACATTCAGCTTCTGGGCATAATTCAAAGTGTTGGTACCAACCTTTAAAGCCACAAATGGCTTGGATCCAAGGCAACTAAGGGACTGTCTCTTCTTGACCATTGCTGAGGTCAAAAATAGAAATTCTTCCCTGTATACCCCTAGGATGGAGACACGTTTGAGAGAAAGGGGGAGGGTTTCTTCAGTAGTCGCACCTGGGTGATGGGAACCTTGCTTCATGAGGCATGCGTGGCCCCCTTCCTTTCTGTTCTTTCAGTAGTCCTTGAAGGCCCTTTTTTCTGACAAGGTTTTCTTGAATGCAGCCCAGAAGGTTTTTCCTGTTTTGGTTTGAACTGCTGTCCCTGTCTCTTGCATTACTTCATATTGTTCTTATGGAATTGCAATATTCACACGTTGTGCTTTTGCAGGAGAAGGGCAAGAGGCAGTGCGGTACAGTGGTTGGATTGTGGAGTGGGATTCAGGAGATGCTAGTTCTAGTTCCCTCACAGTCATGAATCTCTTGAGTGACTTTTGGCCAGTCACTGACTCTCCACCTAACCAACTTTGCAGGGTTGTTGTAAGGCTAAATATGGAGAGGGAGATGATTATGCAAGCCACCTTGGGTTTTTTGCAGGACAAGGAAGTGGACTATTAATATAACACATATATAATCTAAATATTTTATAAATAGAAAAATACATGATTGTGCTTCTAAGGATTAGACCTTCTTTCACCCCTTTCAAAGTTCTAACATCCCTGAGATAACTTTTAAACATTAAAGTAGCAATCTGATAAGTCTGTTTTCTGGGGTTTATCCTACAATGTAGTGATAAAATTTACTGGCCATAACTATAACTGGGCGGGGGGCATGTGTCCTTCCAGTGGAAGTGTGTCCTCCACACCAGCTCTGCTTACTTGGTTGCTGGACTACCCTTCTTTCACAGGATTTATTCTGCATTTCAACAGTAAGACTTGGCTATTGAGTGGTATAAAAACGAAGTAAACAAATGAGCTATGGTTGGTTATAGTTTGTTAGTATAATATCTGAATGTGGACACTTGGGGCTATTTGTGGGTTAAGCAATCCAAAGCTAATCCATGGTTTGTTTGTAGCTTAACTTTGGGCTGTTTAACTCACCAGGTTTGGGCATTATGCTAACGGCCTAGCAAAGTTCTAGTGGCAAGTAGAAACAGCTCACATGGGGTGCTTGATCCCACAGATGGCAGATTAGTTACTCATGATTTGCCACTGATACATATAGGTGGCCCCAGTGTTTTCCCCACTTCTTGTTGACCTTTTTGTAACTGCCCCCATTCTAATCACAGGTTGCAATTCGGAGGCCTCGGGCAGTTGACGGATGGAGTGGTGGGCCTGGACGATTTCACCCAAACCAAAGAGCTGCGTGTTTGGCCAGGCTATGACTATGTGGGCTGGAGGAACAGCTCTTTTCCTGGCGGCTTCGTTGAGATGGAGTTTGAGTTTGATCAGCTCAGAGCCTTCACTGAAATGAAGGTAAAAGGGGATAGCTGAGAATCATGGAAAGCTCTGTTGGGCGTAAACAGATGGACTGGCCCTGTTGGAAGACACGGCAGGACCCCCGGACTGGCTGGTTCAGTTCCTGTGTTTTCACTTAACTGTGATTGCCCTCGATCCAAAAAAAGAAGTCGTAAAGTGCCCAAGAGATGTTCTAAAGTTATTTAAAGCAGCCTTGTTAGTTAAAGCACGGACATGTTTGGACTGCAGCACCCAGAATTCCCAGTCAGTGGTCCTGCTGGATGGGAATTCTGGGAATTGCTCTCCAAATGCCCCTGAAGGCCACCAGGTTGGAGAAGGCTGCTTTAAGTGAATATTCTTGATTTTATAGGAAAAGGGGGGAAAGTATGCTGAGGTTGCTATAGGTTGTATAGTAAGAACAAATCTATCCATGAAATTGTGAAAAAGATGTAGATGTGCAGTACAGTGTTCGCCACAATCTCTGGTTTCAGGCGTCTGCTTGGAGGCTTGGAACCTATCCCTGCGAATATGGGGTTCCTGCTGTGCCACCATAGCTGTTAAGGAATGGGAAAGCAAAGTGGTAGGAAAGGAATGAAATGTATAGATGCAACTTATAGAAGAAGGCAATCTTTAATACTGAGAAATGTAAGCAGGGAAGAACAACGAATATCCAAAATGTGGTGAATGCAAACATTCAGATGTTCATAAAACTCACTTGTAAACAAATACATATTTCTTCATGTTTGAAATATATCAATGAAATCTTGATAGTTGCATTTAGATGATTGTCAGAATTCACAGTGCATCTCTGAGTTCTGATAACAATCACATGTTAATTTTTACAGCTGCCACATTTCAGACACTAACTGTAAAATATAAATTAGCTTAGGACAAGAAGGACTGGATTTAAATGACAGCAAGTCAAATTGCTTAAAAGTGAGGAGGCTTGTGGCTGGAATGAATTGTGGGGGGATGGACAGAACAGAAGTCCCCTTTCATCATTCAGTATCAGTAGGTACTTCGTGCATTAAGGGACAAGCAAGAGCATGTGGGACTAGCCCGGCCCCCTGGAAAGCACTGCAGATTGACTGCTCATCCGGGCTGATGCTTTATCAACCCCGTCTGTCGCAGTCTGTCTTGCATATGCGTCAGTCCCTTGTGGAGACAGAGACCCTGGCCAATCGAGGTTCTAGATTTTGTGGAGGAAAAGGTTGGCCTTGTGGAAGGTTGGCCCCCTTCCAATGGAGCCAATCAGGCACCACCCAAGGAGAAGCCTATTTGGTGCATTCAGGGTGCAAATTTTCACTTACGAAGCCTTATACAGCTTGGGACCGCAGTACTTGATGGAAATCCTCTCCTCTCCCAACTGCAGGGTGCCCATCCATGGTACCCAACCTCTGAGGACTTCTCTGAGTGCCCTCCTCCAAGGGAAGCTCTCATGGTGCCGACAAGGGGCGGGGCTTTCTCTGTGGTGGCTCCACTGTTGTGGAATTTCCCCCTGAGACCCACCTGGCATCACCTCTGTCATCCCTCTGTCTGTGTTGAGCATGTAAAGATTTCTAAGCTTGCTGGGGGTACCTCTGTCTGATTTTTTAACAAGACTATTTTGCATTAAATGATGTTTTAGTTATTGCATTAAAAATATCTAGCCTGTTTTTAAACTCTGTATTACTGGCAATTTGCATGGTTTTTACTGTACCGGGGTCTCGTTCAGGGACTTCCGTAAACCATCCAGAGAGCTTTGGCAGTGTGGTGGTATCACGCTTAATTATGATGGTGCACCGTCAGTTATCAACTCACAGTTTTGGGGGCTGACCATCATACGTTCTTGAATGCCTGTGGGTCTCCCATGCCCAAACGGGCGTGTGGTGATGGACGGGTGCAGACTGAGACACGCAAGGGGAGGCGCAGCATGGTGGAGGGATGAGACCGTCTCTTACAAGGCTGTTGCCCTTCCCGTTCCCCCTTCCCGTTCCTCCCCTGCCATTCCCACCTCCCCAGGTTCACTGCAACAACCTGCACACGCACGGGGTGAGCATTTTCCGGCAGGTGGACTGCCTCTTCAAGCGTAGCCTGGCCACGGCCTGGGAGCCCAGCCCCACCTCGCAGCAGCTGGCAGTGGATGTGAGGGACCCCAGCGCCCGCACCCTCACAGTGCCCCTGCACGGGCGGCTCGGCCTCTTTGTCCAGTGCCATTTTCACTTTGCGGGCGAGTGGATGCTCTTCAGCGAAGTCGCCTTTCTTTCCGGTGAGTTGGGTCTGTCGAAGGGCCTGGGCAGAGGCCGCACAAAGCGGCTCTTCAGGGGTCCCAAAGCGCAGGACCGTGGGTTGCTTTCAGTCCCATGGCTTACCTGGAAGGGTCCGCAGCACAGCGGGAAGCCCTCGATGGCCTTGCACGCCAAAGCTCCCAGGGTCCACCCCTGCCTTCCTTCCATTCGTGGGATCTCAAGAAGCCAAGCTGAGAAAGGACCCTGCCGGAGGGCCTGAAAGAATAGGCTGTCATGCTGGACAAATCACAGGTCTGGCTCTGAACTTCCCTTGTTCATACGGTTGAGAAGCAATTTTTAATTTGTACCAGAGGCTTTAGTTATTCGCTGGGTTCAGACAGCACAACAAGCCATTGTGGTGTTTTTCCATTCTTGGTCTGTTGTGTTATCTGGACCCAGTCATGGTATTTCATCGTGGTGTTTTTATCCTTTAAAAACTACTGTAAGAAACAGTAGTTTGCTCTATGGGTTCTTTGTACCACAATGGCTTGTCATGTTGTCCGAATCCAGGATCATCGTTTTCTCAGTTCTGGTATGCAGCTACCACAGAGTCCTCTAGAAAGAGTGGTGATTGCAGGAGCCACTCCAGCCATCCAGTCTCTATGTGTGGACCACTGAGGAAGAAGCAGGCAACATAGGCAGAGAGTGATGTAACTTGAGATGGAATTCCAGGGCAGTGGCTGATGAGTTACATGCCGGCAGTGGGAGGATTTAAAACACAATAAAATAATAACCAGTTGATCAGGTTGATCATGGTAAACAATGGCAAACTATGGTACTCATGCAGGGTTGCCCGTCATATTGTGTGAATGCAGCCCTTGAACTGATTACTGGATCAGTCCTTTCATTTCTGGCTCAGCATAGTTGAATGGCATCTATTCCCTTTGTCAGTTGTTAAATCTGTGACCAAGGAATGAATATAAATTAGCCTGCTCCAATGTGATGCTGTTCAGATGTGCTGAGTTGCAGTCCAATGCAACTGGACAATCCACCCTGGCTGGGAATGATGGGCATTGCAGTCCAATACATCTGGAAGGAACCACAATGGGGAACATTGATATCAAATGTCATCTCCAGAGAGAAACGTCTCCCTTCCTTCATAGTGTTCTCCATGTTGGGCGCATTGCGCATCTGGAATAGCGCTCTCCATGTTCGGTGCATTGCGCATCTGGAATAGCGCTCTCCATGTTGGGCGCATTGCGCATCTGGAATAGCACTCTCCATGTTGGGCGCATTGCGCATCTGGAATAGCACTCTCCATGTTGGGCGCATCGCGCATCTGGAATAGCACTCTCCATGTTGGGCGCATCACGCATCTGGAATAGCACTCTCCATGTTGGGCGCATCGCGCATCTGGAATAGCACTCTCTGTGTTGGGCGCATCACACATCTGCAATAGCACTCTCTGTGTTGGGCGCATCACACATCTGGAATAGTGTTCTCCATGTTGGGTGCATTGCGCATCTGGAAGCCTGCCTGCCGCTTCTGCCTTGTAAAGAGGCAATGGGTTGCTGGGAGGCGGGGTCACCTGCAGAAGAGGAGTGGCTCAAAAGGTTAATTTGCCCACAACCTTTTCCCTGTAACCCTGCCTCTTACTCCCTGCTTTTTTGTGGGAAAGAATGCAGGAGAGAGGGTCTTAGGGAAAGGCAGAGCCTGGGGAAGGGGTCAGCAGTCCTCCCGCTGCCCCCCACTTCTCCTCCCTCGCCGCCACTGGACAGCAGAGGAGCTGTGGCTGGGCTTCGCTCCTCCCGTTCTCTCCTCCAGCTCCCCACAGCCCATTGTTGCATTCGTTGTTTTCCTGCTCTGCTCTGCTCTCCCTCACCTTGCCTTTCCTTGCTTTCCAGACATTGTGGGTGACCCTTCCCTCTCTGCTTCAAGCCCGCGCCCCCCCCGTGGTGGCACCTCCTCGCCTGTCAGGCCAGGACACTCCAGTCTCCCCAGCCCCGGGGCCTGCCCTGAACGAAAAAGCGCAGGTCGATTCAAACCTCACTCTCCAAGGTGAGTCCCTTGCAGAGGTGATGGCACATCTGATTTTCTCACCCTTAGAGTACCTCCTGTTTCGAAATGCTGGAAGTCCCTATTACATCTCTTTTTCTGTGCTTCTTCCCCCCTTTTAAGACCTTGAGAATCCAGAGGAACCGAAATCCGGCCAGCCAATTGCAAAGGATGATAACAGCAACACCTCCATCCTGATCGGGTGCCTGGTGGCCATCATTTTACTCCTGCTGGTTGTGATATTCCTCATCCTTTGGCGGCAATATTGGCAGAAGATCCTGGGGAAGGTAAGCCTTGCTAGAGCAGTTGAGGAAGGTCAGTGTAATGAGTGCTGCTCTTTCAGGAGCAGAATTCGGATGGCTCAGCTATCTGAGAGTGGGGGGGCTCCCAGCCCACTCCCACTAGTTTCACGGTCCCTCTAATTGCTGATGCTCCCTTGCCCCCCCCAGGCCCAACGCCGCATCTCCGATGATGACCTCACTGTTCACCTCTCTGCCCCAAGTGACACCATCGTCATCAACAACACGATGGGCCCCCACCGGCATGCGAACCGCTACGAGCGCATCCACTCGGGGGAGACCGAGTACCAGGAGCCCAACCGGGCCCGCATGAAACTGCCGGACCTGCCCCACAGCGCCGAAAACTCTGGTGAGTGCTGGTCATTGGACTGCAGGAGGGAGCAGAGTTGGCACGGAGAGGGTGGTGGGCAGGTAGGAGGGCAAAGCGCCTGAGGGGGCAGGAAGCAAATGGGGGAACCACTAGAAATGCTGCGTGAAGGGTGGCAGGAAGAGACAGCCGCTGTCTTCTTGGAAGCCACACACATTTGGGAGCTAGAGCGATCCAAGTCCTTCAGGTAAAACGGGGGTACAGAACTTCAGACCCAGGGGCCAGACATGGCCTTGTGGGGGACCTCCTGAACCCCAGTCACTGGCTACTTGATGGTTTCCCAGCTTTTTGCATTTTCCCCATTCTGAAAGGCTGGAATGGCATCCCTAAGACTTTGTGACTGGCTACGCTGAAACATGCAGAAATAGCTGGCCCTGCCCCTTTGGCCTTTGGCCCCTGGAGTGTAGCCCTCGGCAGGTTGCCTGATGTGGACGTGGGCCCTTGGGATGAACAGAGTTCGCATGCTCCACACCTGCAGGGCCTGTGCGTGTGATAACCATGCAGTGTGGGAGCAAAGGAATCAGTTTGTAATTTCCCTTTCTAGAGGTGCTGTGGCAGAATTGGGCAGCATACAAATGTTTTAAATAAATAAGTAAATAGAGGCAAACCAGCAGTGGTCCTTTGCAATTCCAGAATGCTCATGAAATAACAGCACAAGCACGTCTATGTGACAACCACATAGAAAGCATGTTGCTTCTTGTCCTCACAATTGTACTCATAAGGAAAACCATGTGGTATTTAAATTGGGTAGGGTTTGCTGGGGAAAATGGAAGGCCGAAGAAGAACAGAAAGACCAAATGGGAGACAGATTGACCCCACAAGGGAAGCCACAGCCTGAATTTAGAGCAACCGAGCTGGGATATTAGGGATGGGGCATTTTGGAGGGCTTACGTACTTTCATAGGGTTGCCATAAGTCAGAGATGACGTGACAGCCCATATCAAGAAGAACAACAGGGCTTCTCAGGGCCAGGGAAAATTGTACTGCTGCTTGGATTGAAGCCGTGGGCTGGCCATTGCTGACAGGAGACCATCTAGTGTCTGCTCAAATGCCTCTCGCGATGGAGAGTCTGCCACTTCCCAGCACAGCCTCTTCTGCTGTCAAACAGCTCTCCTTTCACGCTTTGCTTGAATCAGCTTCCTTCTGCTTCCCACCAATTAGCTCTCCTCCTGCCTTCTGGCACTTCAAAGGACACATCTACTCGGCCCTCTGGGTCACAGTCCTTTAGATAATTGAAGGCTGCTCTCATATCTCCTCTTAATTTCTGTTCTGCAAGCACAAACTCTTCAAACTGCTCCTGAATTAAAGTGCTTTCCAGACTCCTCCCTGTCCTAGCCACTCTCCTCTGAATGCCCGCCAGTCGTTCATAGCTATCGAAAAATGTCACACCTAGAACTGGGGTCGGTATCCCAGATATAGCTGTTGGGCCTCTTCTAGCCTTGTAGCACCCACGTGGAGTACAGAAGCCTCACCCGTCTGAACTTGGTCTCAGGCTTTCTCTGCCTTCTCTCACCAGACGTTGACTACAAGAGTTCATATTTATCTCAACAACCAACAGGAATAGAAACATGCTTTTTCACAGAACTGAAAGCTGATATCCTTGGGCTGCTAGACTCTGTCCCCAGTGCTCCGTTCCCCCTTTGTGTGCCGTGTTTGTGGAAGTGCAGGGTGATGAAAAAGCAGGTGCCTTAGGAAGAATCTCAGTTTTTTGTTGAGGTATGATGCTTCATCCGGACCACTTTGAGTGCTGTAGAAAGCGTCCAGGGAGGATTTAACCTGTTGAATGACCTGCCTTTTATCTGCTGAATTAGTTTTGAATATAACCTTCCCTAAATTGCCCCCGAAGGTATAAAAACCTGGGCAATTTGTGGCTCTGCAGATGTTTTGTTCCATGGCCCTCAGCAGCCCAGCTAACAGAGCCAATGATGAAGGATCATGGGTGTTGCAAGCCCAAGCCTCTGACATGGCCAGTTTTCCTCCATCGCCCTAAACATTTTCTACTTCTTGCTTGATGTTTTTTCTTCAGGGGGAGCTTGACTTTTTGTAAGTTTCATTCATACTGCTCACTTCCACTGTGGATTGCAAGCAGGGGTGGGCAGTGTGCAGACCATAAACCGCATGTGGTCCTGCAGCCCCCCCAAAACCAGAGGGGTGTGGGGATTCTTTTTAGATGGCATCTGTAGTATGTACAGTGTCCAAGGAGTCAACTTTAGATTGTTTCTAACCCAAATATAATGGCTGTAGTATTGTGCTGCTCTGTAAATACAATTTTTAAATGTTTACGTTTTATTTATTTTTGGTTGCCCCTGATCAAAATTGGTTCTTGTACTTTCTCCTGTTGCCCAAAATAAAACACATCTAGAGGACCTGGGAAAAAATCTAAAAAATGCTTTTATGTGACATGAAAATGAGGTTGTTTTGGATGTGGGGTGAGAAAAATTGTAGAGAGAAAATCGCAAAATGGGGTTTTGTAATTTGCAACTGGAATGGTGGTAGGAGATGGAGAGGTAGGCTGATCGGGGAGAGGGAGACTGTCAGGTTTTCTCCAAGACAGGCTCCAATTTTTCTTTTTCATATCTCGGTGTATTTGCACATTTTCAGGTATCATGCTAGCTGCCCTTTGTCATAGTGGGGAAAGGTGGAGTTTCCATATGGCCAAGCAAGTCAAAGCCATTCCCCATGGTTGTGATGATGAAAATTTTCTTCCTAATTTGTATTGCAGCAACCCAGTGTCTGATGTCTTAAACCCCACTGAGCATTCCCTTGAAGCAGACTTACAATTTGTCATGCAAATTAAAATGCTAGTTCTTTAACTGCTTAATTGAACTGGGCATCCCTAGTAGAAAATATAAACAGTGCGAGCCACTGTGATTGCTCCATAACATATTTTAATATATTTAAAGCAGTTCATTTCTCTCTTCAGCCAAAAGGGACATGATGGGAGTTGTAGGCTTTTTCTGCCTAAACATGCGTAAGATTGCATCTTCAAAAAATGAAATGCTATACATACAGTGAAAAATATACAATCAAATAAGAACATTTAAAATAATACAGTGCAAAACTAAAACTAAACTAACAGCAATGAAATAGATTAAACTGGCATGCAAATGAAAAAAAGGTCTCTAAAATGTCTGATGGAGGGGGAAAAGTCTTTCCTAGATGCTGAAAAGGTAGCAACACAGAGATACAGGCCTCTCTTACTGGATTAACACTGAGAAGTGTTAAAGAAGTGCCAGCCATTCGGTGCAGCAGCTGCCGCAGCAGCAGAGAAGCGAGATAATGACCTGAATAACGTTCACTGCAGGCCTTCATGGCATCTTTAACTCAGGTTTCCAATTCGTCCCCCCTCTGTGGCTTCACGGGACATTTGAACCTGGTCAGGGTGGCTTGATGGGATGGTTAATAGGCCACCCAACAGCCTACAGTAGGCCAGGGATTCTGAGTGGTCTGCTCACTGTTGCTTGCTTGGATGTCACAACAGCCTGTGTCCCAGGAGAGTAATTAGGGGATGAGCTGTCCCACATGCAGCATGCCTGGAGGTGGTACACAAGCCACCATGGCTTGTGACTACACTTGGGTCACATGAACCAGACCAGCAACTCATAACATAGCCTCTCGATTGTTTGTTCTTTTAGGGGGTTGAGTTAGCAGGAAGGAGGGAGGGAGGTGTTTAAGGCTGATAGAGTCCTTCCTGGACTCTACCAATTCATCCTGCAAGTGGGAGGGTCAGCTTTTTTTAATGCTTCACCATGTCTAAGGGATTCCGTGCAAGTAGACAGCTTGTACACAGAAGAGGGTGAGATTTTTTTTTTCCTGATGTGCTAGTTTTCTACATGTAAGTTAGAACCTTCTACATGAAGAATCGTCATTGCTGCTCTGGAGCACTATAGTCTAGAAAAGACCCTTAAGGACATGACTTTGCTGGTCATCTTGGTGTACCTATTCATTCTCGGTCAGATGGTAAAGAATGGGAAGCCGCAGGAGAAATAAAAAAGGGAATAAATGAAAAATATGGAGGAAGAAACAAGGACATCTGGCCCAGCCTAATTTTCTTCACACTCACACATAAGGGCACAACTTTCCCACCGATCTTTATTTATTTTCCTTTGCCATTTCATCTTGTCTGCATGTTCAGCTCCCTGCACAGAAGCATGAGGGACTGTGCATTCCCAGCAACTATTGCAAGGTCAGCTATAAAATGGTTTCCTGAGACCTAATTTGCAGAAACAGCAGACAAGGTGATAACACCGTTCTTGGACTCCTTCATACTATTGGAAGGAGATTCACATGGTTGGATTAATGCTTTCCCTTCCGAGGGGGCATCCTTGAACATATCTGGGAATACTTATTCTTCTCCCTGGCCTTGGCCAATGCTAACCCATGGCTTATGTTAACTAGCTTTCACCATGAATCGTCTTGCAGACAAACAAAGAAAGTGCAGCTTGTTTTCCTTATTTCTTGTTTGCTTCTTTCCCACCAATTGTACTAGCCTTCGGAACGGTTTGGTTTTCAGGCTGGATGGATGGACAGCAATATAAACAAGGCAGGGATGTGCGACAGTTTTGGGAACAGACATCACAACAAGTCACGGTTTAAAGAAACCAGACTTTGTAAACTAGCAAGAAACCCTGGATTCTGTTGGTAATATGTAGCTGGTTAACAAACCATGGTTTGTTTGTGGGGATCAGTTCAGACACAAACAAGTCAAATTCCAACAAACCAATTTGTGAGTTTCTGTTATATGTGAATCAGGCGCTACTATTCTCTGCTCAAGGAAAGGGGTTTTTTTTTTTTTTTTTTGGTTTTGATTTGTTTTTAACACTGTGGAACATTCGATTGTGTGATTCATCCACCTGCAGGCTAAAGATGCTCAGACTAGTTACAGCTGTGTCACCTCACCTGCCCTTTGCATGCAATAGGCCTTAATTCATAGGTGCTTTGCTGCTTGTCCTAGAGGGCCTAGGATGTTAAGGGACTGTTCACCCTTTAATAGGCTGAAAAGGGAGTGGAGGGGTTGGGAAATTAGGACAAACCTCGTGGGGACCCATTCAGAGAGGACGTAGCAAGTCCGAGCCATGAGGGCTGGAAAAGCAGGTCTCCTGGGTTCCTTCTTTCTGCCCACAGTGCTAATGGTGCCTCATGGGCATCATTATTTGGAATGCCATTTGGTGTATGTCTCTTGCTGCAGTGTTTGGGTTGAGAGGCCTCAGAGGGGCAGGAATCCCTAAAGTGCTGCCTCTTCTCTGTGTCACGCCTCACCTTTCGTATGTGTCTCTCCATCCATCTGTCTGTTCCTCATCTGTCCGTTTGTCTTCTCCACCCTCCCGCCCTCCCCTTCTCCCGACAGCTCTGCTGCTCAGCAACCCAGCTTACCACCTCTTCTTGGCCACTTATGCCCAGCCAATGGGAAGGCCTGCTTTCCCGCCACCCAGCCGGGTTAAGCCAATCAACACCAATGGTAAGGAGGGCGCCAGGCTTGTGTGGCGCGACTGGGAACCTGGGTGGCCACACTCCAAGCTAAGAACATGCTGCCTTCTGCAGTTTCTCTCCCCCCACCAGGGGGTGCTGTCTGTCTCCATTTCTTCTTTCCCTGCCATTGTCTTCCCGGTTCATCTCCCTCTTGTCTATCCTGTGCATGGCTCTAACCCCTCTTGCTCAGACAACATTTAACCTTCAGCTTTGCAGGTTCTGTGATGCAGCAGCTTCTTGGGGCAGGGATGGGGCTATTTGGGGGTGGGGGGGCAGCAATTCATAGAGGTCTCCTTTGGTCCAAAGCTGAGATACCGCTGGCTCTGAGCTTGCCGTGGCTGCTGGGTTCCTACAGAAGCAGCCACACGTGGGGTGGAGCAAAGAGCTCCCTGCAGGAACGGCCGAGATGGACTCGCTTGTATTTCTCTCCTTGCTTCCCCAGCGTGTGGGGCTGGCTACATGGAGCCCGAAGCAGCAGCCAGCCAGCCGGGCTTCCAGAACAACGTCCCCCATTATGCCGAAGCTGACATCATCAACCTGCAGGGCGTGACCGGCGGGAACACATACGCTGTACCGGCTGTTGCTGTGGATGCCCTTACTGGCAAGGACATGGCACTGGGCGAATTCCCCCGAGAGCGGCTCATCTTCAAGGAGAAGCTGGGGGAGGGGCAGTTTGGAGAGGTCAGTCCATCAGGGCCACATCTAATGTATTTATTTATTTATACATGGATTTATAGGCTCCCTATAATTGCCAAGGCCTTCCTAGGCGGCTTACAATACATAAAACATTAAAGTAAAACACATTAAAACACAGCGGATTAAAACATCTATAAAAGCAACATAAAAAAGGCCACAGCATACAGGCTAAACGTTAAAAAAAACCCTAAGAAGGCATTTCTTTGCCTGACGCCAAAAGGGAAATAAAGATGGCGCAGGCGAATTTCCCTAGGGAGGGAGTTCCAAAGATGGGGAGCAGCAGCGGAAAAGGCCCTTCGGCTGGTTGCCACCCCTCATCTCCCTGATGGGTGGTTCTCGTTGAAGGGCCTCCTGAGCTGATCTGAGGGGGCAGGTAGGTATATATGGGTGCAGATGGCCCTTGAGACAGCCGGGCCCCAAGCTGTTTAGGGCTTTATATGTCAATGCAGGCCACAGCTGGTAGCCAGTGAAGTTTTTCCAGAACTGGTGTCATGTGGGTGGCTCTAGATGTGCCAGTGACCAACTGAGCAGCCCGATTCTGCACCGGTTGCAATTGCCGGACCATCTTCAAGGGCAGCCCCACCAGACTTTAAAAACTGGCATTCATTCATTCATTTGTAGTTGCATTTATTTATCCATTTAATTGCCCCTCTGCCAAAGCTCGCTCCTGCTTTTTATCCAAAAACAAAAAGGCTGCCCAAGCAGTCCAAAGAGGCTTATTATGAAGATAGTCCCAGCCCTCAGACCTACAGACTAAAAGACGCAGCACAAATGGGGAGGAGCTTGGGAGGAAGATCTGAAATACGACGGCTTCAGATTTGCTTCCAGGGCGGCTTTTGCCTTGATTTGCTCTAGGAATGATTTGTTTGGACTTTCTGTCAGTCCAGGGTATTCCCAAAGCTCTCTTCCAGCACCATGTTCTGAATGCATCAGTGTTCTTCCTGTCAGCTTTCTTCACTGTCCTTGGGATGAGGCACCAGGGAAGCAGAGGTTTCTCACAGAACCCTTTCCAGTGCTGTTTCGTCAAATTAAGTGTCCCCTCCTGGCTGCTGTTCGTATGGGCGGCTCTGAGCAGGAGACGCATTGAAGCCACATCTAGACTGTGATCCACAGATCCCCTTGTGCCACAACCAGCCCTGCTGCGATTTGTAGGATGGGACCCTTAGAGAGGTGCTGGCTGTGGACTTAGGCCAGGGGGCAAGGGCGAAGAGGAGGAAGCAGAAAGAGAAGAGTTGAGCAGAGGCCACGGAGAGGGTGAGACAAAGGAGAGCCGAAGGTGGTTCAGCAGGACCCAGAGGAAGAGGCTGGAACAGAGTGTGAAGGGGAACAGCAGCGCCCTGGAAACTCTGCACAGCAAGTGCTTCAGGCTCCACTTGCACCGAGTATTACGTACATTAAGGCCCTTTGCGAAACCCAAGTGAAGTTCTGCTTGCAGCTGTTTGGTTCTGGTTTTTGGCAACCCCTTCTGTAAAATCTGTTTAGCATGCAAAGGAAGAGCAGAGCTTGCAAGGGAATTGTGTCATGTGACGCAGGAGTCCTGCTTTTATATTGCGTGGGCTCTGTACCTTAATTGTCTCTTCATTTCATATTGCCTCTTTGGCTCTGTACCTTAATTGCCTGTGATGGGCTTAGGAAATGCCTCTGTCTTTTTAAGCGAGAGATGAGAATCCTACAGCTGAAATCGTATCCCCACTTATCTCAGGGAAAGCCCCGTGGAACCCGGTGCGGCTTGAGTAGCCATGTATAGGACCACGCTGCTAAGACAAGAATTTATATGGTGGATCACTGCCAAATTGGCCTGCAGTGATACAGCAACAACATTTCCTCCGGGAGAGGCAGATGAACACTAATATTCAGTATCTCCGGTTTAAAAAGGAAGATGGGCAGATATGCTTCTTTTCTGCCCTTTTGATTCTTTCCGATTCTTCTTCTGCCATTTTCTTTCTCTCCTACATACGTTCCATTATTCTCCTTCCATTCTGCTTGCTTTCTACCATGCCCACTGCCAGCATCAGCATTTAATCCTTTGCTGCCTTCAGCCTCTTGCATTACAGCCCCCTCCATAGCTTTTCTCTCCTTGTGCCTATGTCTAACTAATTTTTATTTTGGCCTTGCGAAATGGCCACTTTAGGAGGCAGATTCAGGGATGGAGCTTAGTAGGTGGGTTGGGTAGGAGAGGGTTCCTCATGTAGCACCCATAGGTGCTGTGCTACCCATGGGAGACCTTCATTTAGGGTTCCAGCTCACTGACCCTTTCATTTCCAAATAAAAGCCTTCAAAAAGATCAGGGCTCCCGGCTCTCCACCCTTCCCAGCCTTGCTCTTTTCTCCCCTCTCCAGCTTTCTTCGGGCTATCCAGGCCCCAGGGCAGCCAGATGGGAACTATTTTGTGGTGGTGCCCACAGCAGTTTTTCAAATTTCCAGATGTGATCAAAAATGGTTGCAGACCCCTGCATAGGGTATGACATCAATAGAATAAAAGAATTAAATCCCCATCATAAAGCAACCTGTTTGTTGAGCAAGGGACCTGATGACCAAACCTGAGGCTAAAGCACTGCCTATAGAGTCCAAATACTTGACAGATGGCAACCGCACCTTCCCTTGCAGTGCGGAAATGTCTAAGGCTGGCCGGGCCATTTTGTGATGGAAGGACTGAAAATGGGAGAGAAGGGGGTTTCCTTTCTGACAGCTGTAGGTGTTTTCTGTTCGTTGCCCTCCCTTGTGATTTGATGGGCTCGTTTCTCCTCCCAAGGTGCATTTGTGTGAGGTAGAGAACCCCCAGGACCTCCTCAGCTTGGAGTTCCCCTTCAATGTGCGCAAGGGGCGCCCTCTGCTGGTTGCCGTGAAGATTCTGCGATCGGATGCCACCAAGAATGCCAGGTGGGTGTGCGGCCTCTTCCACCTGGAGGAAATACAACTGATATGCAGGGTTATTCATGTTGCTGAAGCTGTTTGAATGTGCTTTATATGAGTGTGGAGCTGTGCTCCACCGAACCCCATCCTGTTGCTCTGACTGGCAGGGGCTCTCCGGGATCTTCGGAAACAGCCTTTCAGCATTATCAGTTTTTCCAGATATTTATGTGCTTTGCATTCCTGCTTTGAATTTTGTTTGCTTGTTGAATTTCTGCACAGCCCATTACCCAATATGGCTCTCTGGGCAGTTTACAAATCATAATATCAACACATACAATAAAACAATAATATTAAATTTACATACTAAACAATAAGATAACAACAATAGCACACAATAAAAACCCTGCAACGGTCACAATTTAAATTAATCTAAACGTGCAGATGCACTCAAGTTCTGCCCTGCTTTATCAGCATTCCCACAGTGGCTTCAACATGCATTCCAGCAGGCACAAATAGAACACCCCCCCCCCCACCTTAAGACCCTCTCCCACTAGCCAGGACTGTCAGGGACAGAGCTGGTGGAGACAGGGACAAAGGGGTGGGAGGTACAGGTGTGCCCCCCCACTTGCGGCCCTTGTGAGCAGGCTGAATGCCTGCAAAAGGCTCTAGTAGGAAGAGGATTAACCTACATGCAATGTTGGGTGGGGTATCCCACTCTAGTTGAGAATAGTGCTTTGGGGTGGAGAAGAATGTGGTTATTTATTTATTAGACTGCATACTAGAATTTATTAGGGTCCTGGTTCTCAGCTAGAAAGATTGTGAGGCGGCTTACATGTGACTGGTAAAAAAAGGACAGCCCCTGCTTGTAGGCAGACAATCTGACACAGCTGTCTGTAATGCAACACCTGTGGGTGCTGTGGTGCCAGTGGGCATCCCCAGTGGAGCCCGTGGAGGAGCCCCCAGGGTGGAATCTGTGGGCACCTGAAATATTTATGTTCTCCTTTTTTTACTATATGCACACGAGTTTCTATAAAATGCATGAAACTTTCTAGCAGGTACACATAGGCTTCAACAAAACATTACAAATATCCTAATTTGGAGTAGGGTGTATTTTTATTGTTATTTATCTGATTAAGTGTTTTAAACATATATATTGTTTCTATATGTTTTTATTGCTTGTAACCTGCCCAGAGAGCTGTGTGGCTAATGGGGCAGGCTATAAATCAAATAATACATAAATAGTATTCGTTTGAAGGTGGTGCCTATATACCACCCTTCCTTATATTGAAAGCCTTGTAAGGACCTTGGTCCACTGCTTTACCAGAGGCGTTTCTAATTCCAGTTTTGCAATATCAGTCTTTTAAAAGGGCACAGTATCCATTTCCCCTTCCATATGTTCTTTCCATGAAACGGGAAAATAATTTAAAAGTGTGTACTTCAAAGAATATCAAAGACTGTTTCTGTACAAAGTTTCTCTCTGTAGCAACCTTCTACCCAAAAGAAGCAGCTACTGCTCATTACCAGAAAGTATGTTTAAAAGAAGCACTAGATGTGTTGCATTAGCAGCGATTGGTGGAATTAGATGACCCCTCATTTAACGGGATGCTGCAGTGCCCAGTAGGCATGAACCAGAAGCCCAAGAGTCAGAGACATGTCTGGTGCATACCACACTGATTAGACCTTTTGTGGTGGAGCACACAATACTTTCTCAAATTCCCAGAGGTACCCCTAAAGGTTGGGGACCCAATCTAAAAAGAGCCAAAATATATGAAAAAGGGATAGGAAGGAGAGAGGAAAAATGACATAGTCTGGTGGAACGGCTCCCCTCCCTCTGTATACCCTGCTGGAATGGCTTCTGGTGGAGAAATGGTGGACTTGCCATACTTGGTGAGAAAACGGGGGGCTGAATAGGCTATAATCCTAGTCCATAGCCAAAGCAAAGGTACTGTAAGTTGGGTGTGTTTGTTGAGGGAGCAGATATGGAGATGTAATTTTTTTCAATGCTGTAGCAACCTAGTGGTAAAAAAGTGGGATGAACATTTAGCATGCCTAAAAAATAGGTGCCGGGTGACCAGATTCCTTCCCCAGAGAGCAGGGACTCACTTCTCGCACCCCTTCTGTGTCCTCTTCTGCCCACAAAGGAATGACTTCCTCAAGGAGATGAAGATTATGTCTCGCCTGAAGGACCTCAACATCGTGAGGCTGCTGGGCGTGTGTGTGCAGGACGACCCGCTGTGCATGATCACGGAGTACATGGAGAACGGAGACCTCAACCAGTTCCTCAGTGGCCACGAGCTGGAGGACAAGATGGGCGGCAGCCCCAGCGGGAAGCCAACCATCAGGTACCTGCCCTGAATACTGGAAAGCCAAATCCAGCAGTTCACGCCTCAGGCTGGGCTCTTCGTCTGCGCAATGCTGCCCTAGAAAGAGACTCTGTGTGGGGTGCCTAAGAAGTGTAATTTCCAGACCAGTTTGAGGATAAATATTCACATATTCTATCGATAGGACTTTTTCCAGACTTCGACCACAATCCTATGCACGTTTAGACTACTGGAATTCCTGCTACTCCCAGCATTCCCCAGCCAGGAAATTTTGTTGTTTAAATATGCATAGGCTAGTAATTTCCCAAGCCAGCAAAGAGTCCTGTGGTGTCTTAAAGACAACCCAATTTGTTGTGGTACCAAAGTCTTGAGGGCCTCATTCATCACTCGCATCTTGAGGGTACCCCAGGACTCTTTGATGCAGGAAGCCGACATGGCTACTCGTTTGGAAGTTCAGCTTTGTGACTCATGAAAACACCATTGCATTCGGGGGATTTCAAAGAAAGAGACAAGTATTGGATTGGATAAGCTGATGCTTGACAATATTGCAAGATTTAATAGTTGAGCATTTTCCAAGTTGCTGTCTGAGTCAATTTTTAAAGCTAAGTTTGAAATTCAAGATCTGTTCTGAAACTGTAACAACTTTCAAACATGTAACATTTCATTGTGAGGGGCTGACGAGTTTGGATGGGCCAGATATCAGGCTCCACTTAGATTCCTTTTCTCAGGGTCATCAGACTCCTGAGGTAATTTCATTTCACTTTCAGTCCAGCTCTGCCTTCCCAACTCTGCAGATGTGTTGGGCACAGCTCTCATACAGCATGGCCAGCAGCATTGTGGGAACTGGAGTCCATCTGTAGGATGGTGGTTTGGAGAAGGCTGTGTGAGCTTGATTCATTAAGTGCCCTAAGGACCAGTGCCGGTCCTTAGGGCACTGGTCTAAGGACCAGTGTGGGAGCACCCCTTGCCCCCTTTTCTTCTGCAGGGTCCTGACATGTCTTTGTTCTCCCTCTTCCCATTGCTAGCTATCCCACCCTGATCCACGTGGGGGCCCAGATCGCCTCAGGCATGGCCTTCCTGGCCTCGCTCAACTTCGTGCACCGGGACCTGGCCACGCGAAACTGCCTGGTGGGCGAAGGGTTCACCATCAAGATTGCTGACTTCGGCATGAGTCGGAACCTCTACGCCGGGGACTATTACCGCATCCAGGGCCGGGCGGTGCTGCCCATCCGCTGGATGGCCTGGGAGTGCATCCTCATGGTGAGAAGGCAAATCTCGAGTGCTTGTTATGCTGTGCCATGCTCACGAGCCAGTCTTGGAGGCAGACACGTGCTTTCACCGCTTTTGCTGCTTCTGACTAACTTGGATGCAGCTCCACTGGTTCGTGGAGGGCCTTCTGCCGGCTTTCCAAAGGGCCACTCAGGAAAGGGGTGGTGTTGTGGCAGGACTAGGGGCCAGCTGGACTCGAGGGCGTCCTGGTATGGAGGATGTGTTGCAGGATGGAGATCTCGTGCCTTCTGCGTGGAAGGACAGGGAAAATCCAGCCTTCTGAGGTTGCTGCAGCTCCCGCTCTCCCTCCCCACTGGCTGTGCCAGCTGGCAGCTGTCGCCGAAGGCCTCTTGGAGGCTTACACATTCCCCATCCCAGGTATAGCGAACAGAAGGCCCGTGACTCAGAAGGGCCCACTTTAGCCTTGGAAGGATTCTGCAGAAAGGCATTTCCCGAGAGAAGGAGTTGCCAAAGCTGAAGAGGCTCTGGGTTCGGGGGCAGGCAGGGTGAGGCTTGCAATGAGAGATTTCTTTTAAATACATGCTCTGGGCCAAGGAAATGAAAACTTTGAGCACTGCAACCTCTGAGTGTTACGCAAGGCAAGCAAATGTACACAACTACTTTTCTGCGTACTGTAGTCTACAAAAATTACTGCATTTTGCTAGCTCGTTGTGGGAGGCCCAAAGCCTCAGCACGCCTGCTAACTAGTGGAATGCCTCTGCCTTCTGTGGTTTCAGCAGATACTACACACACACTTCATATTTGAAAATATCTTTATGATCATACCGTCTAGGATCGTCACTAGTTTTTTAATAAATTTTATTAAGATTTTTAAACTAACACTAAAGACATCAATCATCAAATACATCAGACGTACTGGGTCAGCCCCCTACTCATATTTTTTTTAACATTCTATAGTCATATTCAAATCCATTTATCATAACTTAGAAACATATTTAAATCTAAGCCAAGTCCCGTTTCTCTGGCCAATAATAAAAAGAGTCCCAAGTTTGATAGAAGTCAGTATCTTTAGGATCTTCACTATTTTTAAAATAAAGCTGAGGCATTCAGGAAACTGGATTGTGCATGCAGTACCACATTCTGTACTTTTTCCTGTGGAAGCTCATCACGTGTACAGAGCCCTGGCTGCATTCAAGGCATTGTGCAGGGCTGGCGGGGAGAACCGAGCCAGGTTTGTGCAGGTTGTCCGGGCAGTTACCTGGAGCCTTTTCCAAGTGTTTGGGCCACACGGAGGATGAAGGCAGGGGGTGAGGGAGGGCAGCTGAAAGAGAGAGGGAATAAACGGAGGAGAAGGTATGGTGGGCCCTGGAACCCTCCTGATTTCTCCCCTCCGACTCCATCCCCCCTTAGGGCAAGTTCACCACCGCCAGCGACGTTTGGGCGTTTGGCGTCACGCTCTGGGAGGTGCTCATGCTTTGCCAGGAGCAGCCCTACAGCCAGCTCACCGACGAGGCGGTCATCGAGAATGCGGGCGAGTTCTTCCGGCACCAGGGCAAGCAGGTGAGGACACAGAGGGTGAGGGGCTGGGGGGCGGCTTGCCAGAGGCTGCCACCTGCCCACCGAGGCCGTGGGTGCTCATGCAAGACTTTTCACTGTGGAGTTTGGTGGAGCAACGCAGCACCAAACATTACGATTCTAGGACAAGAGACTCTCCAGAATGCATGCAGACCGCCTGGCTTTGGGGAAGCTGGACTCTGCGTGTGCGTGTTTCGTGTAGAGCGGATCAAGCCCTTGGCCTGTGGGCTGCATTTGAGCCGTGGATCTGAGTTCAGGATAGGATGGAGCTGGAAGGGGGTGTTAAGCAGCAGGAGTTGTTCATGGGCCCCGATTTGTGGGCAGGCTTAAGAATGTGTGTTCTGCTTTGCTGGATCTCTCTCTTTGCATCTCTCTTGCATGCTTCCGCCCCATGCTGGCAGATTCTGCCGCAGCCCTTCCACCATCTAAAGCCTTCCAGGTGTGCTGGTCTACAATTCCTGTTTTCCCCAAGCTGCTTAGCCGGCAGACCTAAGAGGCCTTCAGAGGGGGAAGGTGCTGTGCTAGCGCGCCTCCTCAGAGATACGCACTCGCCTTAAAGGCGGAGCATCCTCTCGTTGTTGTCGCGACAGTGGCCACGCACGTCCTGTGCTTCTGTGCAGTCCTTTCTGGAAGCTGGCTGAGCTGTTGGCCACCGTTGCAACATCTTGCAGCAACCAATTCCATCACTGTGCAAAAGGGGCTTCCTGTTGCTTGGCCCGCCTGCTTGTGAGTGGGAGAAGTGCCCGTCTCCCTCCTGCTTAATGGGACTGTGGGCTGGTGCTTGTCCCGCCACTGGGTGCACCCAGCGCTCCCAGACCCAGCTCTCCCCCCACCTCCGCACCTGCAGAATCCGCAGGAGGGGAAGCATGCCTCTCTCTCGTGTGCCAGAGCTTCTGCCGGTGCTTCTTTGCTGCAGAGAAGGCAGTTCAGCTCAGCTCTGCTTGCACTTTTCTCCCAAGCCCCAGACATGGAGTCAGAGGAGGGTTGCTTTCTGGCACACACAATGCATTCTGCGCATGCTTCTGGAAGCTCCTGACATGTGTGCCGGCATGGAGCCCTCACTTTGCAACGAGGGCCATGTGCCCTGCTCAAGGTGAAGTTCTGGCTAAAAAGCTGTAGGAATGTCCCAGCTCTGCTTTGGGCTGCCCACCTGTGGGCCTTGTAACAGCTCCTTTTCCTTCCACCTCCAGATCTATCTCTCCCGTCCTCCCGCCTGCCCCTTGGCCGTCTACGAGGTGATGCTGAAGTGCTGGGCGCGAGAGGCCAAGGACCGCCCATCGTTCCACCACCTGCACCGCTTCCTGGCCGAGGACGCCTTCAATATGGTGTAAACCAGGCTGGCACTGGCTTGCGGGGCTCCTTGGAGGTGTCGGGCAGCACTGCAGAGACTGCTGGCGCAGGGGGAGGTCTGCAACCTGAACCCTGCGTGGGGCCTGTCTTCCCACTCCGGCCCAGCCTTTGTCCACCCATCGCTCTCCATCCACTTCCAGATACACTGTTGTGTACAAGCTCCCTTCCTCCTTCCTTCCTTCCTCCCTCCTTCCCTCCCTCCCTCCCTCCCTTCCTTCCTTCCTTCCTTGACTCACCTCCAACCTCCTGCTGGTCCTTCCATCTTGCAACACTGAACTGCTGCACGGAAGTACCTGCTCAGCACTTCCCTCCTCCTGCTTTTCCAGGCTGCCTATCCACATGCACACCTGATTTCCTTTTGCCTTCTTCTGCCATCTTTCTAATCCAGTTCTTCCCAAACTCCCTTAATCTGAGCAAACTTCAGTGGTGTCCGAATGTGACTGGGTGCCCCTTCACTGACGCACACACCCGCCTCTGCATTCTTCCAATGTATGTATCCTTGGTGTATTCTGTTGTTTCTCCATATGTCCATCACATACTTTCCTCGCTCCCCTGCCTCCCTCCTCTCATTTCCAGGCTCTCGGAGTGTGAGCTGAGCCTCTCCAGTAGAGCCAAAGTGGCTGTGAGAGAGGTCCTAGCAGTACTGCCCGAAGGGGGTGCGCATGGAAGGGGTCAGCCCTTCCCCTCAGCTATGGCCTCCCTTGGCTGGCCTTAGGCAAGGCATCATTCCCTTAGCCACCACCTTCCATCTGCAGTTTGGTGCTAAGGACAGCTTGTGCTATAGGGTTGTTGCAGAGATTACAAAGCAATACGCACGACAGACTTTTGAATGCTCAGCCAATACTAGGCATTAATAGTTCCGGCTTTGTGCTGTCAACCTTTTGGTGCCATTAGAAACGTAGAAACATGGAAGTGGCCATTGTAGTTATGGCCTGATTTGGAATGGTTTCCTTTGTCTCCTGTTCTCTGCGATTCTTCTTTTTGGCAGGTCAGACCCAGAGGCCTTCAAACTGGGGGGCAGCAGCCCCTCTCGCATTAGCTTTGATGTGTGGAGCGGTGCCTGCCTCCCCACTTCTCCACCACCTTAGCCTGACCTGAGAAGAACTGCTTCTTCGTTGATGTTTCCCCCATGTGCCTCCTTTACATCCCCTTCCTGATTAAGCAGGGGATGGATGCCCTGTCTGCAGACTTGCGTCTGCATGCACAGATCTTGACATGCTCTGACTAGGTGGTTTGGGCAGAGTCTGGAAAGCAGGAAAAACTTACAGGAGAGGACCAGCAGCAGCCAATTGGGGAGCATTGTCCTTAAAACCCCTTGGTCTCCCTTCTCCACCGCCACCGGCACCGAACCTGCCCTCCTGTGGGGATGAACCGTGGCCATCAGCTGCATTCTTGGTGCCATTTGGATGCCCCCACTGTTCCCTTTCATTGACTTCTGGAGGCTCACCATCTGAACCTTTGAGAACTCTGGTTCTGTTTCCTTCCCCTGTCCATACCCTTTCCCCCAGAGAGCGTTTCTTTCTTGCCGTCACCCTTTCCAAGATAGGGTAGGCGCAGGAGGAGGCAGCATGCAGCACCTGTGCGGATGCCGGAGTGGGAACTGCATTTCTGCCTTTAGATTTCATGGGCAACGGGACTAACACTGGCTGTACAGGTCGGACCCTGTGGTCCAAGCACACTGGGATGATGAACTGAGCACTGGATGCTCGGAGAGGCTGGAAGAAGTGGTGTCAAAGGTACTTCACCAATCCATTGTAGGCTGGGGGAGCCTGGTACTAGCTGCTCTTAAGGGTGCAAGGGGGACACCTCCGGGTTGCATTATCCACTTTGACAAATAAAAGAGGCGGGCGACCAACTGGCAGGATCTCACAAGGCACACAATAGATTTTAGGAGGCTGGAGGTGATCATGGTCCAACCCTCAAACAAAAAAGCCCTGGCCTTCTCCGAGGCTTCCAGCTTGCCATTCCACCACCACCACAATGTGCCTCAGATCCGTTCCAGCTGGGAACCTGGCCGCGTTCTTTGTAAATTCCTTTTCTTCTTCTTTTTCCTGGAGACTTGAGGTGACATGATTGTAGATACTGTACTGTACAAAGTGGTGGGGGAAAAGATGCACTTTTCCAAAGCAAGCAGAGCATCTCGGGGAGTCGGTCTGTGTTTTCCCCTCGCTGTGATCCCGCCGTGAGTTGCCTCAAGGACGTGCCCTGCGAGCCAGCGCCATAGCTGTGCTCACAGCACGGCATCCATGTGCAGACAGCCTTGACCATAGGCCTGGGCTGAATCCAGTCCACAGAGGCAACTGACCCCTACGAGATCATCAGCGCATAAGCTTTGCTCTTGCCAATACCGTTTAGCGAGAAGGGGAGGAAAAGCCCCTGCACGTGTCGTTTCCTTTGCTAAGCCAGAAAAACACACACAGAACATAAGGCTAATGACTGAAATGATTAGATATCTTCACAAATGTAAGGTTGGCTTAAATGAATAGTTGTAGCAAACAGTTTAGGGGAAGGGTGGGAGATTCTCAGAATGGGTCATCAAAATGTTTTGGAGCTTTCTGTGCTTTATGTTTCTGCTTTTGACAGGTACATTTTATAAGTAACCAAGAGAAAACATAAGTGACACTTTTATATGTACTGAAGTTCATCCTTCAAAAGTTATGACTTTAGTCCATTCCTATGTGTGTTTATTCATGTGTCGCGTTGAAGTCCGTGGGGCTGCCTGCTAGGCAGCATGCTCTGGATTGTGGGTCAAGTCCCATTCTGTTGCTTTTAATAGGCTGGATTTGGAACTGTGTCAGTGGTGGCAATCCCGACAGTGGCACTATTCCAGAAACCATTGTGCAAACTCAGCGGAAGAGGTTGTGCCGTGACCGTGTGCTAGTATGCATCTCGAGGCCCTGTAAACCGCTTGAGCAATGCTTTGCTCTTTGGGATTTCAGTTTTCTTAAACTGCCCAAATTTCTTGGATTAAGCCTGAAAAACCCTTCTGTACTTGGAAGAAGACTTCCGTGTGCAGAAGATATGCCTGGACTGCAATGGGATGTACACCACAATCCTAAGCATGCTTTCTCAGGAAGACATCCCACTGAACTGAATGGGGTTTTCTTTCAAGGAAATGTACATGGGATTACAGGTCTAGTCATGGTTAACTTTTGCTTAATCGCAGCAGATCAGTGGTTCAGATATTTTCAGTTGTTTAAATGACTCATCTTATTAGATGTATATTTCTCTTTCAAGAGGTTTCGGTAGCACATTATGCCAATCAGTGCACCACCATTTCATGAACTCTCCTCTATGCTTACCCTGTCAGATTCCCCCATCCGCCTTTTCCCCCCAGGTTCCCCTGCAGATACTCATAGTTGTTTGTTTATTTGTAATGTGCATCAGGATGTGTATATATTTGAAGAAAAGAAAATAGACAGATTTTTTACACTAATATATAGATGTTTGGGGTTTTTTAGTCCTTTCCATTTATGTGGTGAAATAAAACGCTTTGCATTTTGTACAGTACTTTTGTCTGAGTTGGTCTGTGAATTGGGTGGGAGGGATACAGAATCGAAGGGCAAGATGGATGCAGCTTGGCTTTGTCATGATGAATGCAATATAAATAGCGGTGGAGTTTGGACATCCTTGTCCCCTTCTGCTCAGACCCTGTACAGTGCCATCTGAATGTGCCACAAGAAGAGGGCAGAGAAGAGAGGCACAGGGAATACCAGATCAAGCAAAGAACACATGGGAATATCAGATCAAGAGCTCACTCACCAGCTTTCAAGCTGGTACCCCAGTCATGACCTGTTTTGACTGCAGGTTTGTAGGTCAAACATTACCTAGGCAGGTGTGAATGTTGCCAGATGGTTGGACATCCAGCACGGTAGTGCCAAGTTATGAAAGGTGATTGACAGGGCCCTCAAAATCAAAATAATCATCCAGTAGCTTGCTTGACGTTCCTGCCAAAGTATATGCACCATTTCTTGTGGCTGGATTAGAACTGGTGGAAGAACAGCCAGTTCTATCGCCAGTGCTTGGCCAGCTTTTGTAAGGGGTACAACATGATCCATTAGTGCTTTGTCTTGAATTAGCTTATTCAAAAATACATAAATGGCCCACCATGGGAGGTGGTTGAAGCCCCATTGGTGAGGGAGTTCAAGGATAGGCTGGACATGCACATGGTAAGCATGTCATAAGCGGAGCTGGCTGGAGCTGGGGAGGGTCAGACTAGATGGCCCGGGAGGCCCCTTCGGACTCCCTCAGTTTCTGTGTCTGCTTCTGTAAACGTATCACCTGCTTTAGATTCCCTAGATTGTCAGTGTCTATGGAACAAATTAGATGCTAGTTGAATAGATAAGTCTCTCTTATTTCTCATACAGCTGTGGTGTTACAACACAGCCATCAGCTACAAACAATAAAACTATACTGAACACACACAGCAAATGTCGCACGATATAACCACGTGATTCGGCAATCGTCCATTCTCTTGATGAAGCACAACATTTGTTAGCGTTATATGACGTCACCACTTCTCAACCAATGGCCTTAGGTGGGGATGTCTTTTCAGAGCAGCAGTGATTCCCCCCTCCCACATCTGTTAGAGAAAACCCTGTGCATTCTGCCTTGTGAAGATGTGAAGGCGGAACATCTTGGGTATCTTCAACATGTAAAGATACCCGAGCTGTGTCCTGAGAGAAACAACTGTGTCACATGTCAAACGGATCCACTGAAATCAGTGGACCATAGAGCTAGTTGTGACTATTGTGTGCCCCACTGATTTCAAGAGGTCAGCTTTAGGTGTGCCTACATTTGGATCCAACCCCAACATGTAAACAGAGTCTGTATTGTTGGAGGCTGGTCTTTGCCTGCACACTCCTTTTCTCTTTCCCGGCAGATCAAGACAAGATAGAAAAGGACCCTAAAGAGATAAACAGCTCAGTCAACTCCACACTGCAGCCCTCAAAACAGAGGCTGGGAAAGTGAATGGTGCAAGGGCCATGCAGTCCATGTGCCCCAAAGGAGCTCTGGAACAAACAGTCGCTTGCTCCCTTCATTAGCATGTTTAGACAAGCACCTTCTATTAGTGAGGAAATGTGGACACTTCTGAGGAAGAGTAGCTATTTGTTCCAGGCGCCTCTTGCTGAGCCAGAGCCCCAGCCACGACCGTAGCCCCCACGGTGGGGTGTCTGTGGCCTGCTCTGAGCCCCCCTCCCTCCTGAGGCTTTGCCTGGGTGGCGGGCTGGTGGGTTCCTCACAGCCCCCTGGCCTTGCCCCGCAGCAGGGGCCCTGCTGGATTGAGCCATGTGCTTATTAAACTCCTCCTTCCTTTGCCCTGAAGCATGGGCTTCTCTGGGCTTGGGGGGCTCTTTCTTTGAAGACTCCCCACCACTGGCTTGGGCTCTCTGCATGCCTTGAGGGTATCTCCTGCCTTGCCCCTGCTGGGGGTGGGAGAACTGCTTCCAAGGATCTGCCCAGTCTCGCCATGTGTGCCAGCCCTGTGGCTTTTGAGGTGTTCCTCTATGTGCCCTGGCAGCCCTCCACGTTTGCATGGGTGCCCAACTGCAAAAGGGCAACGGTGGGAATGGATGCCGTGGAACGCTGAACAATGAGCCCGGCATCCTATGCGTGGACCTTGGTCCACTGCTGTGCCCACCAAGGGACCCTCTGCCTGGGGCGCAGGGGCTGGCTTCTGCAGGCCTGGCCACAGCGGCTTCTGCTTCTTCCTTGGCTGCCTCACAGGTGCTGCTGCCTTCAGGTGGGAGCATATCTTCCTCCGGGGGTGGGAAGTCGTGAACAGAGTCTGGGACATCCACCTCCCTGAGGCCAATGCTTCTCACCATTTCCTTCCAGCTCTCAAAATGAAGGAACTCTTGCAGCTCTTCAAGGCCTGGATCAATGGGCACGATGTCTCCCTCCTCATCTTCCTCAGCATACCGAGTGGCTTCTTCATCAGCTTCTCCTTCACCATCAAGGACTTGGTCTCCTTTGCTCCCAGCCCGGTTTTCATTATCCTGCTCAGCTTGGCTCTGTTTCTCTTCATCTTCCTTAGCCCTCTGGCTTCCCTCATCTGCTTCACCACCTTTTTCATTTAGACAATCCTGGATTCTGCATGGAGAAAAAGATGAAAAACATCTGAGGTTTGATACCCCAGTTCTTCAGCTCCAAAGAGACCAAAGGGCAGGAATGGAAGCAGCCCGAGATTGTCACAGGTTGGGCTGATGGTGGGTAGATTTTATATACCACTGAGCAGAAGCCTGTGCCCTTTCGGCCCTAGGTCTGAATTCCAATTTTGGGGAAGCTGAGAGGGCACCATTTGAGTGGTATATTCGGCTAAAGAGTGGCACTGCCTCTCCCAAGGCAGAGGTTGCCCTCCCCTGACTGAGGAGAGGCACTTCGAGCATTCAGCATGGGAGAAAGCACAGAACAGCCAGGAAACCAACAAACCAGGGTTTGCGGTGGGGTGGGCCTGGGGTCAAGGGACGGGAGTGTCACCATTCTGGCAGCCCCAGAGGGCCAGATTTATGGAAGCTGGAGGCATAGTTCAACACATCTGGAGGATGCCAGGTCTGGTAAGCCTGGTAGTTCTTCTCCGGGGAGACCTTAACTGAAAAGAGGATTCACCATTATAGAACGTGCCCCCCATCTGGTCTGGATCTGCCACAAGTAATTATGTCACATGCAATATGGATGCTCACCGTCCCAGCAGTTCCTTGGTGCCCTGGGGAGAAGAGAAACCAATGGGTGAATCTCTGGAAAGGCTCGTCAAAGCAATTTCTCACATCGAAGCTGACGGGGCGGCAGGTGCTCCTTCCAGACCTCCTGTGCAGCTGAAGCAAACTGGTCGGCCAAGTGGGAGGCTGCCACCCAGTCAGAGAAGCCATGCAAGGGTTTTGCAGTACACGCCTTTGCACTGGACTGGGGAGCGAGCGAGTGCCAGCTGATCCAGCAGGGCTTCCCTCGAGGCCAGGGCGCGTCCCGCTACATTCTCAGCCTGCCTGCACTTGCTGGAACAGCAGTTCCAGCTGGGCAGGAGCTGTTGCGAGTGGGGAGGGCAGTTGCTCTTGGCATGCATTCCTGGGGGGAGGGGGCTGCCGTTGGGGAGCAGCCGTGGGAGGGAGGGGGGAGGCTCCACGCGGGCCAAACCCAGACATCGAGATGAGAGAAGCAGAGGTGCGTATCTCAAGGCCAGGTGCCCCAGAGGCAGCCTCTGTGAAGAAGCAAGAGCTGCAGTTCGTGGGAAGAGCCCTGGAGCAGGCGAGTCTCTCAGAGACAGGCAAGGCAGGTATGGCTCTCGACCTCCTGACACGACATCGGTGAAGGACAACGGCCCAGTTAGGGGATTGCCATACAGAGGGGAGGCAGGCTTGTTTCCAGAAGGTCCCTCTCAAAAGGAGAGGGCCCAAATATACTCCACCCATAACATACTCAGCAGGAGAGTTCTTGGAAGTAAATACGAGACTGGCTTCAACAAACCCCTCCATGCATGCTCAGATATTCAGTCAAGGTGGTTGTGCTTCTGGGAAACACTTTGGTCAATAAAGCGCTTTTTACAAGAAAGGTCTGTGGGTTTGAATGTGTGAAAGGGGGAAAACCTATTTCACAATAGTAGCAAGGAAAAAGCTGCCCTGGCTGGTGCTCACCACCTTATTTTTAAAGCAGGGGTGAGAAACCAAGTTTGAAATCCAGATGTTCTGGTTTCAACAATCAGATGCTCCTGCAGCATGTCCAGTGGTCATGGGATGCCAAGAGCTGATGCCTGAAACACCTGGAAGTCTCTCTCCTGCCCACTCTTAGAGGGTTACATGAGTGCTTGTATGTTGGCTCCCTCTGCCACTAGTAGAACAACAATGAATGCATCTATTTTAAATCCTAGAACAGCACAGATCTGGAAGGGGAAAGTATGATGTCACATCTCTTCAGCTGCCTGAAATTGCCCACATCACTGGTCAGTTGTATACAGAAATTGCAGCTTACACACTTGCGTGTGCGTGCTTCAGAGTGCATGTAAATGTCTGCAAAGACAAGCTGTGTTCTTACCAAAAAAATATTGCTGCTTTGGCAATGGAAAATGTGCTTATTCCCCAGAGTAAAAGTTTTCCCTAAAATGAACTAATCTGTGAGAGGTGCTAGAAAGTCGAGGTTCATTTGGGTCCATTGCCAATTCCTCCAGTAACCCCAGTGGAAGGCCCTGAGACCCACCTTCAGGAAAGCAAATTCACTAGTTAACTTCAGTGCGGCTCGGATGCTGGAAATGGTCTCAGTGTGAGACGCTGCATATGCTTTCAGATACTCCAGCCTCTTGGTCATTCTGGCCAGGTTGTCCTCCTTCATTTCTTTTACAGTCTCCAACATGCTTTCCTCTTGCTCGTTCAAAATTTCACGGAGTTCCTCAAACCCAATGAAGATGTTGCCACATAGATTCAGGCTCTGGTTCTGTGCAGAAACCAAGAAGAATTCAAAGGCATGTTCATCTCTGGACACTTCCACTCATGAGGAGCAGGCAGTCAATGTGTCACCACACATTGCCACTTTGCAAGCTGCCCCTTGTTGGCGTACAAAATGGGGAAGGAGCTCTCAAAGGGAGTTATTCTTTGCCCCACCACAATCCATACAGAGACAGCCTGGCTAGGGTGGATAAGCTGATGCCTTCCAGACATTTTGGGCTGCGTTGGCCATGTGGGCTGGGACTGATGCGAACTGTAGAGCGGACCAGCTGCAGGGCCCCCGCTTGCCTGCTCCTGCACGCATGGTGAGTGCAGTAGTCCAAATGGCAGGCAGGAATCAGGCAGACCCAGGATCACATCCTTGCTCAACCATTAGACTCACCAGGTCAGCCACACATCCACATCAGCTGTTTTGTGTTGTAACCCCCCTCTTCATCGAACATGCAGCTAGGGCATGGCTCGTCACAGGTAAGAAGCATGATCAGAGTGTCTTGTTCGCGTAAGAACAAGAACCCCAACGAATGTGCATGCTACGCAAGGCTGACCACAAAGCAGCCTTTGTTGCTACGCTCTAGCATAACGTCACGCCCTGTACACTCGCTTGCTTGCTTTAGCATAAAAAAATGTGTGCGAATGTAGCTCAGTGGATTTCCCCTATTGTTCGCTGTTATTCAAGCACCTGCATAGCCATCCGTGTAAAAGAGTATAAAAATCCTGCCTTCAATCTGCTCAGCACCACACTCTCACGAGTGCATGGTCCCTGCCGGCAGGTAAATAAATCCCTCTCGATAATTCCAACCAGTCTCTGGTCTCGTCTGTAAAATCGCGCCATACAACATTTTGCTTGCTTGCTTGACTAAACTCCTAAGCTAAGGCTCTGGGTGGGTTACTGCAGAAAAATGTTGGGTTGAATCAGATTCACATGTTGGGCTCAGTCCAGAGCTACAAATTCATAAACTAGACCCTTGCATCAGTGGGGTTTCATTTGTTCATGAGTAAGTTTTAACTGTGAAGCCACTTTGATGAAGTTGGATTCAACTGAGTTGGAGGGAGTGGTCTTCCCATCCTCTCTTTCCCAGGACGACCCCTCTAGTCCCCTGGAAATCCTCCACACAGTCAGGAATCCCTGCTGAATGGGATGACTGGGTGTATGGGAAAACATGCGGAAGATTATTGTCTGGCGAGGAGTTAGGTGACATGTCCCATCTCTTCTCATGGTGCCATGATCAAGTATGTTGATTTATGTTGAGTCTTCAGTTACACAGTGGAATGTGTTTATGTTTCTCATCTTCTATTCTCCCAGGCATAGAGCATTCGGGAGGATCCTAGATTAATCTGGAGTTGTTTAGCTCAAAGGCCAGGTGCTGGGCATGCATAGAATAGAAGTTTGCGAGTCAGAAGCATTCAACTATAAAACCAGGGGGGTGAGAGTTTGAATTTGGGAGTTTCTACACAGATCAGGTGCCTGATGCTGTGTGACTGATGGTCTGAGATCTCTCTCTCTGCCTAACCGGGGCTCCTGGCAGCTGAAAGGGGGAGAAGATATTCTTGCAAGGTATAAATGCTGTTTTGTTTGCCTATAGATACTCTTATTCCTTAAATAAAGCATGACTTTTCCTTCACCTACTGGCATGCTCATTGCCTCCAAATCCCAAAAGAACCCCTGCCTCCTGGCAGAACACTGGGCTGTGGCAGGGAAAAGGGATCCTCCAGCATCGGACAGGTCCCTTCCTCCTGCAGAAGTCAGCCAGCTCTCGGCAGGTCCCTCCACCAGGGACTCCCCCTCCTCACTGCAGAGGCCACCTCACCCTCCTCCTCCTCCTGGCCATCCCTTGCTTGCCTGGCAGGCCCAATGGTGACGAGGGGCAACTTCTTGTGCCTCCTTTTGGTTAAGCTGCATTTACATCCTGCCATTTTCCTCTCATGGAGAATCTGAGGAAGCTTAGCTTCAGTTTCTCCTCCCGGCAACCACCCTGTGAGGTCGGTTAGGCTGTGAGTAAGTGACTGGCCCAAAAGCACCCAGTGAGCATCATGGCTGAGTGGATCTAGAAAGTGGATCTCCTGAATCCCCAGGCTGACACTCACAGCACTCTTGCCAGTGGGGCTCCGCTGGCGTGTGGGCCCTTGGCAGGCACCCAGCCAGCCTTCCCTTGACGCTGACCTCGGGCCCTGGAACAGTTCAAGCTTTGGTTTCCATGGGGATACCAGCAGCTGGAAATGGAGCTGGGTTTGGCCTTCTGGGAACACCCTGTGGCTCATGGCACAGACATACCAGACAAACAGCGGCACACGGACTTGTGCTGATGGCAGCTTCACGTCTGTGATGGGGGTGCGCCTAACCGGGACACCGCACACAGAACTCCCTCCCAAATGGAAGGCTGAATTGGGAACCCAGTTGAACTGGGGCTGAGAAAGCAACGGAAGATCAGTGAAACATCAAGAGTGCCCTGCACTGCAAAGGGCCTCCCACTGCGAGAAAGGCCTCCTTTCTGGTCTGGATGCTCAGCTCTCCAGATCACCCTCCCTTTCTGCCCTGGGCTCACCCAAACCCTGACATGCACTTGCTCCCCCTCTTCAATTTACCTCCAGTTTCTCCATCTCCTTCAGCTGCTGAGACTGAGTTTCTGCAGCCCACTTCTCCCCATTCTCCAGAAGCGTTTGAGACGCCTTCAGCTTTTCCTGTGCAGCAAATGAATTCATAAATAAAAATACTTAAATGTTTATATGTGAAAATAACATAAAAATGAGGGGGAGATAAAATTATTGAGAGGGGAAAAGAAATGCTGCTTTTGGGTGCTGTTTTGTTGCTGGAAGTGGGTAGGAGATGCCTCCACATACTCTACAGCAGTCAAGACTGGCTGCCGATTCGCTACTGCACTGAGGGGGCTGTGGGCAGAGCATCTGTCCAAATATGCGGACAACTGGCAGGGGGCGATGAGCGCTGTAGTATAGCACACTAAGAGGAGGTTGGGGAAGAAGGGGTTAAAGCCTGGAAGGCCAAGAAGGCTGGCACCTGAACCTCTGCCATCCACCTGACTGCTTCATCGGTGTGACAGGCTGACGGAACAGAAGATGCTGTTGCTTGTTCAGCTCCAGGATCTCTGGACATTGGCTGTCATCCAAATGCTTGAGGTCAGTTTGAAACCAGAAACGTCACTCAGATTTTGTAGGAAGAGGAATTTATTTATTTAAGGTTTTTGCATGCTGTCTGACTACTACTGTATCAGGACAGTCTTACAGTAAAAACAGGATAAAAATGAAGCATAGCATCCAATAATAAAATCATACATTAAAAACCTAATCAATGGGTAAATAAAAGGTTTTAGCCTGGTGCTGAAAAGAATACAGAGTCAGCACCAGCAAACCTCTCTGGGGAGCACATTCTGTAACTGGGGTGCCACCACCAAGAAGGCCCTTCTCCAGGCAGCCACCCTACTAATCTCCTTCAGGGAGGACTCCCAAAGTAGGACCTCTGCACCAGATCTTAAGGGGCAGGAAGGCACATAAGGAAGGAGATGTTCCTTCAGATATCCAGGTCCCAAGCCGTTTAGGGCTTTATAGGTCATCACCAGCACCTTAAATTGTGCTCAGACTTCAATTGGTAGCCAGTATAGGTAGTAAAGGACTGGCGTTGCGTCCTGGCAGTTCTATTCAGAACCAATTGAGGTATCCAGACCATCTTCAAGGGCAGCCCCATGTAGTGCACGTAACAATAGTTCAGTCGGGAAGTTACCAGAGCGTGGGTCCCATCGCTAGGCACCAGGTAAGGACGCAATTGATGGATCAGCCACAGCTGAAGGAAAGCGCTTTTTGCCACTGTTGCCATCTGAGACTCCAGGGACGGCTCCAGGCGGAAAAGCGCTCCCAAACTGCGCACCCTGTCCTTTAGGGGGAGTGCAACCCTGTCCAGAACAGGGCTCACATCACTTACCCAAAAGGCTGAAGCGCCTACCAACAGGACCTCTGTCTTGTCTGGAATGAGCCTTAGTTTGTTGGCCCTCATCCAGCCCATTACCCCCGCCAGGCACTGATTAAGGACAGCCACTGGTGACTCCACAGCCCAAAGCACCAAATGACCTCTCCCAGTGGTCTCATGTAGATGTTGAAGAGCATGGGGGACAAAATGGAACCCTGTGGAGCTCCATGGGGCAGCTGCCATGGCGCAGAGCCGTAGTCCCCCAGCACCACCTTCTGGAATTGGCCAGCCAGGTAGGAGTGGAACCAGCACAAAGCAGTGCCACCCACTCCCAACTCAGCCAGCCTATCTAGGAGGATACCATGGTCGATGGTATCGAAAGCCTCTGAGAGGTCCAGGAGAACCAACAGGGACACACTCCCCCGTCCCTCTCCCTGCACAGGTCATCGTACAGGGCGACCAAAGCAGTTTCAGTTCCATAGCCAGGCCTGAAACCAGACTGAAATGGGTCCAGATGGTCAGCTTCCTCCAACAGCACCTGGAGTTGTCCGGCCACCTCCTGCTCAAGTACCTTGCCCAAAAATGGGATATTAGCCATGGGCCTATCATTGGTGGCTATCTCTGGGCCCAGGGTTGCCCCCTTCAGGATGGGCCTGATCACTGCCTACTTCAAGGTGGCAGGGGCCGGACCCCCCCTCAGAGAGGTGTTGGTACTGTCCTGGACCCAGGTGCATATCCTGTCTTTGGGTATGATGAACAGCCATGAGGGGCAAGGGTTGAGTAAACGAGTGGTGGGTCAGACTAGTCCAAGCACCTTGCCCACCTCCTCAGGCCACAGTAATTGAAGTTCGTCCAATAAAGATGGACCAGACACCACTCTGGACAGTTCCCATTCAGGGACCTCATCAACCTTATGGAGGTAAAACTGGCCCCAAGTTTAAACCTCACAGGGAAGTGATCTGACCATGACAAAATAGTCAAGGTCAGATCCCTCACTACCAGATCATCATCTTCCTGCCCCATCAAATTGAGCCCTTTGGCCTCTCGAGCCAGTGCTCTGGAGCTCTTATAAAACACTTCTAATGAGGGATGGATGGATCTTTCTGGTTGGGGGTCTGTGTTTCTCATTTTTAAATTTTAAAGTCAGTTTTAAATTCAGTTCATCACAAAATCTGAGATTATAATTACATAGACATTTTTGTGAGTATTTCTCCTAATGCATGCTTTTTATACACTTTTATCTAGTGTACACAGTTTTGAAAACTCTTTTCCAAATAGAATCCATTTTAAATGTCATTTTCACTAGCATTTGTATTTCTACATACACTTTTCCCTAATACACTCATTTTTGTACAGATTCTTTGATTGGGGAACCCTGTTGCAGCATTCAAGTAAGTGCAAGTTTCAAAGGGTAGCCAAGTTTTTCAGTTTGCGTATTGCTGGAGTGCAGAATCTATCCCAGCTCAAGGATCACATTCCATTTTGGGGAAGTCTTTGGATGCTGCGGTCCAACAGACGATGGGGCAAAAGCGACGAGGCTCAAAAAGGCTGCATACTTCTGCTTATCCCCTTACTGCTAGTACCTGAGTCTTGGGAGAGGTATTGGCCAGAACAGGGGGAAAACCGCACAAAGGCTGGGAATCTACCCAATATCTCGTGATTGTGGGAAAATGGGCCAACAGAAGGAAGTGTGGTCCTCCAGAGAATGTGCAGCCTGAGCCACCTGGCACAGTGGTTCAAATGTGAGCAACCAGGCACCTCTGCATTAGAAGATGAAGCAAGTGTCTCCCTCTCATCTGTACATGCAGATTGCATTCCCACAGACGTCATTCATTCATGCCTACCTGATAAACTTTCACAGCATTCCTGAAAGGCAAAAAGCTGTGGCCTTGATGCTGGGGCAGGTCCCGGCAGATCACGCAGATGGGCACCTCGTCCTGGATGCAAAAGAGTTTAAGCGGCTCCTCGTGCTCCTCACAAAAATAGTGATTCCCAGCCCCGCCGGCAGGGAGACCCTCTTCCAGCTTGAGGAGCTGGGCCTTCTCAGACAGGTTGGACAGGACCCTGTTGCGCACAGCATCCTGAAGGTCAAAGGGGGCACGGCACTCGGGGCACAATCCTTTATGCTGCCCCTTGGCGGTGAAGCAGCTCTCCAGGCAGGAGAAGCAGAAGTTGTGGCTGCAGGCGAGCATATGGGGGTCCTGGAAGATGCTGAGGCAGATGGGACACAGAAGGTCCTCGGCGATGCTGGACACTTCCCGGACCGAGGCCATTGTGGCTGCTCCACTGCCCACTCGCTAGTCTGCCTGGCAGAGCGCTGGCTTCCTGGGGAGAGAGCAAGCCAAACCATCACAGAGGAAACCTAGAGGTGGGGCCTGGGACAAACTGTCGCATTCAGGCTCAGTGTAACAAGGGCCAAGGTCTCACTTCCAGCAAGGGCCCGTTGCCAAGGCCGCCCCAGACAGGTTCTCTCTCTCCACCTTTGCCACCTGCTGGTTCACCTGTGTCTCACCCCACCCCATACGCTAGAAAGAGCAGCAGAGGCAGATGCCTCCATGCTCCCTGGACCTCGGCCAGTCAGAGGAAGAGGTAGTGGCATGAGAGGATCTGGTGGCAACGATCGTGAGCAGGCAGGCTGCTGAGGGAGGAGGCCATGCAGGTGTCCTGCTCGAGGACCTCCAAACCCTAAAGCCAGCACTGCTTGGACTTCAACTACACCTTAGTTCACGTTGACCCTGGGAGAAGCTGGGAAAGGGTGGCCAAAGGAAGCAGTTTTTACAGCAAAAAGCCACTGCCAAAACAAAGGGAGTCCCAGCAACCCTACCTTGAGTTCCTTGGCTGGCTCTCTTGGCTGTCTCTGAGAGACATCTTTAAAAGAAGGAAGCAAGGTAGCTACAAGGGGCAGGGACTTTTTGGTAGTGGCACCCAGCTTATGGGATCAGCTCCTCAAGGAAGTGTATCTGGCACTGACACTTTACACATTTCACCACCAGGTCAAAACCTTTTTATTCCCGTTATTTTAACAGCTGATTAGAGGTTCGGTTGTTATCTAAATAATGATTTGTTGCTCTGGTCTAATATGTTCCATATTATTATTTCTTGTTACGGTTGTCAATTTTTGTATTTGGATATGATTTCATGGACTCACTGGAGAAGACCCTGATGCTGGGAACCACTGAAGGCAAGAGGAGGAGGGGACAGCAGAGGAGGAGGTGGCTGGATGGGGTCACGCTGGACGGCGTGGTGGGCGTGGGGAGCTCCGGGAGACAGTGGAGGACGGGAGAGCCTGGGGTGCAGCGGTCCATGTGGCTGCGAGGGGTCAGGCATGACTTTGTGACCAAACAAGAAAAGATTTCAGGGAGGAAGTGTTATTTCAATTATTTGCAAACTGTTCTGAGAGTATACGCTGAAGGGAAGAGTCTATAAAAACCTCCGATAGACAGACAGATAAGGCTCCCTTCCTCTGCTCCCTCACTTTAGGGCTTCAGCATCCAAAAAGCCCCGAAGAAGGCAGTCTGTCTCAGTGCAGCCAGTCAGCAGCTGAGCTGGTCGCGTCATTTCCTAAGCGTCATTGGAAAAGGGGTCACGTGCCGGAGCGAAGCTGAGCTGGCAAAAGGCGGAAAGAGCGCGGGCTGCCATCAGCAAGGGGGGAGGGGGCTGCCCAGGCGCCATCCTTCCCCGCAGGAGAGCTGAAGAACCGGAAGCCTTCTGAAGTTCACTCGAGCTCGCAGCACTTCCCATCCCCAGTGTGCCTTCCTCCGTTCATGGTGAATGCTCTTTGCGCTTGTTTTTCAAGGGGTGGTAACGCCCCTCCGTATCACATACGGTGCCTGGCGAAGCAGAGAAGAAGTCTCCGCCCTCTGGAGCCTACAATCCAACCTAAAGGTTACACAGAGAGAAGCCTTTACAGCAAGAGGTGCTTTGCTATTTTAACCATTCTTTGGCTCAGCCTGTCCTCATTTCATTTTCTAACCATGTCCCCCTCCTGGATGCAACCTTGCAAGTAACTTGCTCAGCATCCAAAGAGGCAATCCTGTGCGAGTTTAGACACAATGGAGCCCCCCAACTCCCGGCATTGCCCATCCTTGGATGCACACGCCTGCACCCTAGAAAGAAATGGAGCCATGCATTTACACACAGGGAGCTGGATCCAGATTTAGGCTGAAACAGTTGCGCTCATGGAAATGGGATCCTTCACCTGCCCCTTCTCTTAGTTATTAAGAGCGCATGCCTGGGACTCAGACGATCTGGGTTCTAGTCCCTGCTCAGCCATGGAGCCAATGGGTGAACTTTGGGCCAGTCACAGACTCTCAGCCCAACCCTCTCTACAGGGTTGTTGTTGAGGGGATAAGACTGAGAGCAGCAGGAAGAGAATGTCAGCTGCTCCGAGTTCTCTGTAAGAAAAAAAGCGGGATCTAAATCTAAACATAAATAAAAATAAAGGAATAAGTACCTGGAATGGATGCAGTTCAGACCAGCTGAGCACTTTTCGGGGCTTGGGCCGGTCTCTAGCTCATCCTGTCCCTCTTTGAACTGCCTTACAGCCAAGGCGGGCGAGACCACGGACGCCACCGACGGATCTCTTGAGCGCGGGCTGGGGACCAACCAGACACTCTCCCGGCTTGTCCCAGCGACGGGGCGGCAGCAAGGGTCTTTGTGTTCCCTGGCGAGGTCGAGGTCCAGGCGGTTGGGCTGGGCTGCTTTCAATTCCCGCGGCTGCGAACAGTTTCGTTTCTTCTGCGGTTGCAGCTGCTTGCACAACCGCGAAGCGGGCTGGAACCAAAACCGCCGGGGAGGCGCCGGCTGGCTCTGGCGAGCGATTCGCGGAGAAGCAAACGGCCTGGGGAGTTGGGCGTGGAGCTGGCGAACGTCCGAACGAGCCGGAGTTGCCCTTGTTCCTCCGGGACGGGCCGTCCCAGCCCTCCACGACCCAGAATGACGATTGCAAACTTCTCTCTTTCCGCATCCGTTAAAAGTGTCTGGTTTCTTCTAAGATACGGGCGGGGAGACGCAGATTTGTAGTCAGGTCGGAAGTAAAGAATGTAAAAATCTTTGCTTCTCGTTTGTATTTAGTTGACTGAAGCAGGGCGCAACCCCGTGACCGTGACGGCTCGGGAAGGCTAAGAGTTGTAGGGCATTTTTGCTGTGTTTAAATGCATTTCCTCTATTTAAACATGAATAGGATTGCACTTCCTTGTATTTATTAAGCATACACATACAGGAATGCCTGTGTATTTAGGCTGTCTAAAATGTATGCGATTGTGCTTTAAAAAAAAGAACAACAAAAGTCTTTTAAAGAGGAACACATATGAGCCAGCCTAGATGGAATAAAAACATTCGAATCTCCAGGGCTTGATGACCTCCATTTCAAAGTCATAAAAGAGCTAGTGGAGAAACTCAGAACCACTGGCTATTATATTCAATAAATCTTGGAAAACAGAAGTGCCAGATGGCTGGAGAAGGGCTAACATTGTCCCCATCTTCAAAAAGGGGGAAAAAGATGAACCTGGGAACTACAAACCTGGTAGTCTGACCTCAGTCCTTGGAAAAAGTCTGGAACAAATTATTAAAAAATCCATCTGCAAGCATCTTGATGAAAATGTAGTGATTAATAGAAGCCAACATGGATTCATCAAAAATCCTATCAGACTAATTTAATCACTTTTCTACTGGGTAACTTAAATGGATAAAGGAAACATTGTGGATATAATCTACCTAGACTTTAGCAAAGCTTTCAACACAGTGCCCCACTACAGTCTGATAAGTAAATTAATAAAAAGTGGACTAGATGGAAAAACTATTAGGTGGATCCAAAATCGGCTGCTAAATCAGACATGGAGATGTTATGTCCCACGGTTTTACAGATGAGATTAGAGACCAGTTGGTATCTTCAAGAGAAGGTTTATTTCGTATAGGGACGACACTCTCTCACAAGGATGGGATGAGTGCCTTGCGTTTTAGAGGGACCACGGAGTATTTATACCTTGTTACACAAAAAAAAGAAAAAAAGAAAAAAAGAAAAGAAAATAGTTTCTTGGCAGCATAAAGCGAGCTAGCATGATTTACAGAAGCGAGACGATTTGTAGCTCTGATACAAAAAAGTGGCGCGGCCTTGCAGTTTGTCTATGTTTTGATAAAGTAACACTCTGTATGCATGAAGTAACTGATAACCCTTCCATTTGGCTATTTTTATTGAGACCCCAACCGGTCCCGGGCGCCAAGGGTTCTCCCCACTTGCCCTCTTGGACATCCAGTTGGTC